TCAGTCTGAAACAAACTGGTAATACGATATTACCAAGTGGAGAGTAGTCAAAGAATATCCTTGTAGGGCAAAACACACTTTATTTTTACCCAACAAAATTCGCTATTTATAAAAATCTCTCCGGTATCAAAATGATACATAATTTTTTCACACAGTAGCGAAATTAATCAATTTGCTATATTTCTAGAGGTGCAATTGTTTTCAGAGTAAAATCATAAGTTATCGCTTCAACCATTATCCAAAAAAATATGTATGAGTTTTGACAATTCATAAAAAAGTGTTTGGAATATTTTAAATTTTGCAATTTTTAACACATAACGGGCAACACCAAATGTACAGTTCTTGACTGTGACAATTTGCAACAGATAAATTTATCTAATTTTTGCAGGTGTTGCTAGAACGTTAGATCTACCGGTACAAGAATATGAATTCCCTATACCTAAATTTTAAAAAAAACACTAATAACTTAGGCTTAGAAGAAATCCGCCCTCCAAAAATAAAACAAAAATCATCCGAAGCATTTCAACCTGTCAGAATTTTAATATGAATTTTGTTTGGATGGCACGTACAAATCTTAATTTTTATCTTTATTAGTCACTTCTAACTTTTCACAATATTGACCAAACTGCCCAGCAAATTTTTTTAAATTAAAAATCCGAAAATGTTTACCGAGTCTTGAGATTTTTTAGCAAACTTAATAATATATCAAACATTTTCCTTCATTTCTAATTATACAGTGTTTGTTTTTGAAAATCGAATTGGGCTTACCTAACACCCAAGTTTGGTTTGGATAATTTACAAATTTTTTGACATCAACTAATTGCCTCAGTCCTGCAGAACTCGTCCAAAACCTCCTCAGAAAAGCAGCTGGTTTTGTGGGATGAGAAAAACCAACACCGAAAACTGACGAAAATTTCAAACCATCGAGACGAACTATTTCGTGAATTCAACGGAACGAAACAATTTGTCGCGGGGCATTCATTGAACGGATTTAGTTTGTGGAGAGCTGGGCTATTAGCGAAAACGATAAGGCGTCAAGATTTACTTCGGTCTGAGTGTGAAATTTGTGCAGGCCAACGGCTACTGGAGGGTGCTAGAGGTCGAGTACAATGTCGCCATGCTGGACGCATATAACAGAATTGCGAAAGAATTTGGTAAGCTAAATTGGCTAATTAATTTTTGCGTAAAAATCATTTCAAGAAATTCATATATGGATAAATGTGCATTGGAAATAATGCACACATTCGCGTACATGGCAGAATTGGCAAAAAATTAAAAAAGTGAGTTAAATTTGCAAATTATTTTTGCAATTTATTGGCACTTTTATGGATACTGGTAACAATTTTTCAGAGTATATTTCATTCTAGATATTTTTTTTTCTAAAAAGTCTTTCTCCAAACTTAAATTGGGCGAAAACCTTATACCATTTAACAAAGACTTAAGATTAGTATTACATATTTTCTGAAACATGCAATTTTTTTAGTTCAGTTGACCGCGTAAGTTCAAAAAAGTTGACGATTTGATTAATTCTAAATTTAAATAAATTTGTGAAAGGCATCAGCCGATGAACGAATTTATTGATATCATAACACATAATTTGTATCACCAGGTTTTTGCATGGTCTCGTTCGTGTATGGTAATAATTTATTACCATGATTTATTACTAATAAATCATTATCGCCTCGAATCAATATACGTCTGAAATACGTTGGTAGAATATATTATAAAAATAGTAATAATAATTTCAACTAAATTATTTAAATTATTTATTAAATTAATTATTTATTATTAATACCTTGCAACAATATGGATTTCTTACAAATTTATAAAAATTTCTAGCCAAGCTTATACTAAAATTTTAGGTAAACAATTGCTAAATTATTACCTCCATTAATTAAAAGGTTTTCACGCAAATATGACCAACTTCTATATCAAAACAAAAATTTCGCAACACGAAAAAAATATTATAAAAAATATAAAATTTACACAGTAAATATTTCACAAAAAAAACCCTCAATTCCGTCCTCTGTGATCGTGATTGCTTCTTACTGAATTCTTCTGCATGAGTGGGAGCTACAAAAATCCTAATTAAAACAGCAATCGCAATTAATTAAATTGATTCTTATTTCTCACCTAAAATAAGATTTATTGGATTTATTAAAAAAGGGATATAATTTTCGACCCCGATAAAAATATGGATTTTGCCCGATAAATTATTGAGTTTGGCCCTAAATGATATTTGCCCGAACATAATTCTTTTTTTGCCCGATAATTATCTTAGGAATCCCATTAATAAATTGACTGACCACATAATTAAAAACAAGTATAATTACACATATTTAACAGTAATTGGAGTTCACGAAACAACAAAATATTATAACTCAGTATGCATATCAACTCTCGTCCTGTCACAAAATCATATCACATTGTTTGACTAACCATTAATAAGTTTTTTTGCTGCTTGTGCACACCAAACATCCAATTGTGACTCGAAAATTAGTGATTCGGAATCCAATGATAGTGAAACTGAAACTCTGCCTACATAATACTACACCTCGAAAATTATTCGACTGAAATTTTGTTAATGTTTCTAAATAAACAGAAAGCTAACGTAACCAATTTACGACTCTTAATTTTTATATTATACTTGCCGTATACCCATCTAACCTGCTTTATGCATTCAGAATATCATAACCGTTACTCAAAACCACCTTGTCCACCATTAACACAACCCCTTACTTGGTCCACCCACGGAGGGAAAAGAAGCCGTTCCCGTTCACTTCGTAATCCAAATAAAGCCACATAACAATACATAATAAGTGACTTATCGACCTCTCAGGTACACAAAGCGCACTTTTCGGACATATTACTTTCTCTTCCGTTTTGGACAGTTTACTTTTACGGAAGTGAAAGTAATCTGTAATCTGAATATAGATACTTATCTTAGTGGAAAAAGAAAACTTTTCACAGTTTGAAAACAACAAAATTGGAGTTGAGTATGAGAAATAAAACTACGATGTAGTGGACTATTAACCATTGGGCGAAGGAAGCAGATTACTTCGTCCACCAAACTGTTCAAAAGTATTGATAGGTCATTAATATTGAAATTATTTTAAATGTCCTTCATAAATACGCGTTATTACGTAACAATAGTTTCCGAAATTTTATTGGCTGATTTGACTATCAGTGGATTCCAAATCACTAATTTTGGAGACTCCAGATTGGAGTCACAATTGAATATTTGGTGTACTCGAACAGCTCAGCAGTTATTAACGGTTACAAAGACGGAACGAGAATAGATATGCATATTGACTTATAGTATTTTGTTGTTCCGTGAACTCCAATTACTGTTAGATATGTGCAATTATACTTGTTTTTAATTGTGTGGTCAGTCAATTTATTAATGGGATTCCTAAGATAATTATCGGGCAAAAAAAGAATTACGTTCGGGCAAATATCATTTAGGGCCAAACTCAACAATTTATCGGGCAAAATCCATATTTTTATGGCGACCTTTAATTACATGCCCCACGCGGGATATAATTTTCGACTCCTATAAAAATATGGTTTTTCCCCGATGAATTGCAGAGTTTGGCCCTAAATTATATTTGCCCGAACATAATGCATTTTTTGCCCGATAAATATCATTGGAATCCCCTTAATAAAATGACTGGCCCCCTAATTAAAAGCAAGGATAATTACATATATTTAAATCAGATTTATGATGACAATTGAAATAATTTTAAAATTAATCAACAATTAATGCTTTTGAGCACTTTTGTGGACGCCCTGGTTTCCTTCTTTCGCCTAATGGTATATTTTTTGCCTCAGGTCGGACATTGTACAGTTTGTTCTTGATGGCTAATCCAAGAATGTGCTTGCAAATATAATTCTTCAGAAAATGAGGACAGGTACAAGACGACTCCATTCAAGAATTTAAATGGAATTTGACCATCCAAAAGTGTCAAAAGTTTTCCACGATTTCCTCTCCGTCATACGTAGGTACTTGTTGACATCGTCTTCTTTCAGCTTTGGTTGGTTGGAAGAAGATATGAAGAAAGTGGTGATGTCACCAGCGGTGCGGAATTTTACATCCGGTTTACTTTGAACCCAATTGAAAGCTTGGGTTTCGTGTGAAAGTGGATCACCACGCCACCGCTCCACTCCAATCAAATATATAACATTGGCTGCACATGGCTTATTTTACAGTTTTTTTCTGTACATGGCTCATTTTAAGATTAGGTTGACGATATTTAAAATGATTAGGCTGGTAGATTTGACAAATAATAAAATAATATTTATAATTTAATATGTAGTTGACCAGACCTTAAACCCAGCCCCAACACATAAATTTGGACTAATGGAAAATTCCAAACTTCAAGAGGACAACTGCTGTCCTTGTACTGCGGGCAAGATGCCTGAACCAAAAGAGCTAATAACATCAATAATTCAGGACACCTGCACCGCGGTTAAGCGTGCAGAAGGTTGGAATATTTCTTTTTTAGTTTAATGATAAGTAAATGAAATATAGCTTATATATTTGGATATTATTTAGGGGACATGGAAAGAAGGGCTGAACTACAAATTGCAGCAGAAAAATTGTCCAAGGATCTTTCATTCTTGGCAAATTATATGATCGTTTGCTTCAGCCGTGATCCCACGGCTCAACTGGACGCCCAGGATAAGCTCATTGCAGCAATCATTGGAGCATTGGGAGGAATCAAAATGTAAATGCTGCAATGAATTATTTGATATGGCTATCGTTCTCCAATATTGTAAATTATTCACTTATAGGCTCTAAGTGCAATAAATAATTGGGGTTCTAAAAAAGTTATACTCTAGCAAGAGAAGAAAAATTCTGTGCTCATTAGTAAACACAAAAAACCGACAATTTATGGGTATTATTTGGCACAGTACAGAGCTTTGGAAACGTTTGAGAATCCATTAATAAATTTAAATGAGGTTCGAACTTTATTTATTGATCCCTTCATGCATACGTATTTAACTACACAGATTGATCACTTATATTTCTTTTTGCAAATTGAATTAGATCAACATAACCATAATTCATATAATAAAAATAAAAAATAATAACGAGTTACTTTATATTTCCAATATTTCTCCTATAGTTGGAATCAAAATCTAAAGAGCTTGACTCTAATTACGGAGTCAATCTCTATAATATTCCACAATCATGTACGCCTGTCCCAAATACATTTTCTGATATCGTGCAAAACCTGCCAGATGAAAGATTTCTTAACTTCTACCAACACCCAAACTTTTCATCCCTCCTCCCCATGTCGTGTTGGATGTGGAACTGCAAAAAATCGGGTATCTATCCCTCACTTCAACCGGAATGGGTCCCGTGAAGTTCCCTTCGCGACTATTTGAATAACCCTGTTCAAATCTGAGGCCTCTTTCAGGCCACTGTTTATCCAAAATTTCCATTTTTATGCAAAACACTTTGAAATTTAAGGCAGGAATTGCAGTCCCGTTATTGAAAATAGTGTCACATTTTTCCCTCCGAAGAACAGTAGCAGCCAGACGGAGCAGTTCAAACCACCATACAACATATTTCTGGAATCCATAGACCTGACACTTTGTCGTTGGCGGGGGAGGTCGGGCGGAATGTGAGATGCGTGAAGGTGTTGCTGGGGCGAGAATAATTTCCGGATTTGTGATATTGCTGAGCTGAAAAGAAATCATTAATGTAGGTAAGTTTATTAATATTTAGTCTCCTTGGGGGTACTCATTATTAATAAGCTAAAGTTTTACGCGACCGTGAATCAAACACTGCTATTTTCATTGAAAATTTTCAAAATCTGCTTATCTTATGAGAGAAAACTCTACAAGGCCTGTGTCAAATTAATTTTGTAGGCAAATAATTACGTCAAGAATTCAAAATATGCGCTTAAACCAGAATTATCCTTTAACGTGATCCAACAGCAGTTGTAGGTAAAAAGAAGTTGAGTACCCCTAATACTCTCATAGAACTAACCTGAATTCTAGTGAATCCTTGCTCCACACTGAACACTTTTTCCGCCCGGACTTTATGGGATCCATAACCCGGCCCGAGCAGCCAGATTGTATCGCTTCTGTAAAAACAGAAGAAGCTTTTTCAAAATATTTAGTAAAATATTATTTGCATAAAAATCCCTGATCGCATCTTCAAGATATTTGGGTGTATGTCACCACTTTATGTATCCAGTCCACATGCAGTGATACCCATACCTGTCAAAATTAATGCTGGGAACGAGGATGGTTGAATTTGGCAGCAAGACCGCAGTCGTCCCATTACTTGTGGCATCATTGTTGACGAGGAGGACGAGGGATGCGGCGGAGAAGGTGTTGTTGTCAATCTCCCTCTGCCAAACAAACCGCCAACCATCCCCTGCGTAGAAGGAGGTGTTACTACTCTTTTCCGCTAGGTATGACCACGTCCGTTTGATGCAATCTAAATGGGTTAAAAATCAAGTAGATGGAAATAGTTGCAGATTAAAAATTCAATGGTAACAGTGGTAATGGTAACAAAAATGGTAACAAAATTCGTGGTAAATAGGTTAGGTTAGGTTAAACCTAAGGAGGACAACCCTTCACCGACAGAATCACAGATCTTGATGCCCTTTGGATATGTTGTAGTCCTAGGTGAGTCTAGCAAAAGTGAAGAAGGATTTCATTCAATGGCCCCATTTGCGCCCGCCACACCCACTCAAAGGTGCGAAAAACACGAAAAATACCCTGTTTTCGTTCATTCAAAAAATCACCAAAAATCCAATTTTGATCGGATTTTCATAATTTAAGCGTTTTTGTGATCTTAGATAGTTGCTTTATCATATCCAATAGCTAACTCAATTTTTCTGAAATTTTGATTTTTTCGAAGGCATACCCCTGGGTCAGGAAATTTTCGAAAATACTCAAAAAATTAAAAAAAATTGAGTTTGCTATTGGATATGATAAAGCAACTATCTAAGATCACAAAAACGCTTAAATTATGAAAATCCGATCAAAATTGGATTTTTGGTGATTTTTTGAATGAACGAAAACAGGGTATTTTTCGTGTTTTTCGCACCTTTGAGTGGGTGTGGCGGGCGCAAATGGGGCCATGGAATGAAATCCTTCTTCACTTTTGCTAGACTCACCTAGGGCTACAACATATTCAAAGGGCATCAAGATCTGTGATTCTGTCGGTGAAGGGTTGTCCTCCTAAGTCTGTCCATCCTTCACGGAATTACAAATTTGCTCAATTTTCCCAAAAATACATAAATTGCTTAATTCTGACAATGCCATCATAGGAACTTCAAAATGTGCACAAGAAATGAGTATTACACATTTTACTCAATGAGTAAAATTAGAATAAGTGTTTTGTGAATTGTATTTTAGTATGCACCGTCAATTAAAATTTAGTTAATTTAATTAATGTAATTTAACATGGTACAGTTGTCCCGCCGAAATTATCACATTCCTAGTTGTATCCTCAAACTTTATTAATTTATTAATTTTCTAGAAATTAGTTACGAATTATTTAAGAGTACGTACCCGCAAAATCGCACTTTTTTCCACCCACCGTCTCCGGAAAATAAAGGCCCACCACACAGAGTGCCACCATGGTTAAGTAGGGAGTTCTTCTATGCGACATAATTTTCAAATCGTACTATAGTAGAGAGTAGGAAAGAATATTTCTTTTGCTGTGTGTCGTCCAGTGTGTAGAGTGGGAATGATGGGAAGGACTTAAGGGTGGTGGACTTAAATATTTAATGGAGTGGAACATGTCGAGGAAGAACTTTCTAAGAAGGAACCCGTCTTTTACGCCAGAAATAGAAAAATTCCACGAAAATTCCACCGGTTGGCAAGCAACTTTTCTCATTACACCTTTTTTCCTCAGCAACGACAAATTCAAGATCCTTAAAAATCCGCATTGTGCAAAGTCGTTATTTCGATCGTTAAATTTTTATTTTTATGTCCAGAGGCGATCCAAATTAAATCAGTAAATAAATCCGTTTCCATCGAGAGAGAGAAAAGTGAGTCAGCGAGAGAAAAACTCCACTTTCATGTGCGTCTATCACCACTGCATGAAAGTGCCGTATCTGCCTCACTATTCTCTTTCTGCATCTCACCAACTAAAATTTATAAGCCTGTCGATAAGCCCAGCCAGTGTAATTTTAGGGTGGATTTCACCATTATAAATTAAGATAAGCCTAAGTTTTTAATTTGGGGTGAAATAATATTTCAAAATTTAATTACTTTCGTAATACACTTATATTTCATTATTATATTAATGGATATAAGTTAGTTACGGCACTTGCTATAAAAGGCTCCTCCCCCAGAAACTTTGACCTTAGTTATCTCGATGTCGCATCGTTTGCGGTCGGGCAACAAAAGCTTACAATGAAGCTTATCCAAAGTAGAAAAATCTGGCATCAGGTTGTCAGACCGCAATTGTTGCGACATCGAGATTTTTAGTGATTTATCTATATGGGCCACACCCTCAAATTTTCGAATTTTGAAACTTTCTATGCATCGAAATTTCCGTCTTCACGGGGGATTTTGAGTTTCAAATGCAAGTTGAGGTCTAATTCTAGTTTTAGCAAGTGTACCGTGACTTTTTCATATTTCCAAATTTTCCCCTATTTTTGCAGGGGGGGTGGTTCAAAATAATTCAAAAATAAGTATTGCATATTGGTCATTTGACTGGGCTGGGGGTCATTGTTTTTGGACTACGTCACATTCACGTATTTGGGGGTGCGGTTATGGTTACTAAGCTACGATACTGTCACGTACTTGGGAGGCAAGGGGCATAGCATAGAAAATAATTAATTAGTTATTAGTAATTGGCATCGAAATTTGAAATCCAGTTAATTAGTAATTGTTAATTGAACTGGTTCAAACAATTAATTATAATTAGCTAATTAATTAGTTTTGAAGAACTAATTAATTACTTTTTAATAAATAATTAATTAGTTTTGGTTAAAACACTAATAATATTTGTAATACAAAATTAACTATACGCAACTAAAAAATGAAATAACTAGATAGATATTTACCGGTAACAAATGTTGGCAATAATTGCCTGCATTTTATCATCGTAATTGGTTATCGATGACTATCAATTATTGGATATCGATTGTTTAAACTTAGAACCTACCAGTTCATTGAAGGACCTTTGTTCGACGATATATGTAGTAGCCGGTATCAGTGCACACACTAAATTGTTCTTGGCAATTAATAGTCTCTCCGATTTTGAAATAGTTATCTGATTTTTGGATGTGGTTGACAATATTTGTTTCGAAGTTGCATTGCCGGATTTTTCATCTTTCTTATCGTATGAAGGTTTAGCAATTAGGAATAAGGCGACATATAGGAATTTACGAAATTTACAATACTTAGGGGCTTAGAACAGCAATGGCAAGATTAAAACGCCAGATATCATGGGAAAAAGTGAAACAACACAACCAAATTCAACAATTAATTAGTTAAACCATGTCCCGGATAAGGTTGGGAATATTTTAGCATCGTGTAGAGGGTTAATGCGGCGGTATATTTAAAAATAAATAAAATTTTCTTAAAGCCTGTCCAATTTCAGTCAAAATGAGCCCAAGCCAAAAATTGCCAAAAATTTTTTGCCAAAATGTCAGCTTCTTAACCAAAGCATGTCAGAAGCAAGCTAGCACAGAGCTATATTTTTGATGCAAAAAACAACAAAAGTGCAGTGGTTGACTGTTTCAAAAACAAAAAATTTCTAAATCTCGCATATATAGACTTTTAAAACATTATGACGAACATAAAAGTGTTGAAGTTCATTCAAATTATGGTAAGGTGTACGCAATCAGAAAAATCTTCGTGAAGGTTCGTGAGGTGTGTGGCTAAACTAATCAAAATTTCAAAATCAAGTGGGTCAAAAATAAAACTTAAATACTTACGTTTGAAGATCTGTACGAAGAAGAAAGTCCCAAAATAGATAAAAGATAAAAGTTTGAGGGCTAAGAAGACCTGCCTCAGAAACTTGGAATTTTGGAATTTTTTGAGTTTTTCCAAAAGAAAGACAATGCTGAATATGCACCTCAAGCTCATGGGATCAAAAAATTTTGGGCCATTATGAAGAGTAGATATTCTAAGCTTACTTAACAACCGCAAGATTTGGGCCAACTCAAACGGACATATAGAAAAATTTTGAGATTAATACCAAAAGGAACTGTACTAGAGCTTATGAGAGAAGCTCGGAGTAACCTTCGAAAAATCGAATATCATTCAGTGTACTCCGTGATGTGTTATGTCAATTGAAAGATAATTGCTTTACCTTTAATTTGGGATATATATTAATTTTGTAGACAAACTACCCTTTCTTTGGTAGGTACAATACGATTCCCAACCTTATCCGGGACACGCTTTAATTAATTAATTGGTTATGACATGATCAAAGTAATTAATTTTTAATTGGCTCGGTTTAATTACTTTGGCAAGGTAATTAAAATTAATTAGTAATTGTTAATTAGTTGAAAGTGCTAATTAATTAGCTAATTAATTAGATTATCTAATTAATTAGAAATCTCTGCTCTGGTTTCATACTGAACTAAACGTCCCACTACCAGGTTTCCATCCAGGTTTCCATCCAACATTTACACAATTTGTTTTAAAGTTGTACACGTATACAGTTCTTGTTATTGACAATACAATATTTATAAAATCTCGGCATCCCATCGCCAACCCGACACCCTGCATAACTACTCATCGACAACACTCTGAATTCCCCACATCCCGACCAGGTATAGAAAGTCGGGTGTAATATGGCCCTCCCTAATTTGGGTAACATCAGGATTGGTGGAAAAAAATGAGGGTCCCGCACAGACATTGTGTCTCACAATGCCCCAAAGGACCGATCACTATCGGTCAAAATTGTTGTAAAATTTATTTAAACCGAAAAAATTACTATACATTATTAACCATCTTTTATATACAAAATAAGCGATGAAATTCACTTTGAAAATTTTGCGAAATTTGGACCGGTGGAGCTTATGAACGGCCCTTAACATGCATTATCTGTGAAGGACCCCCATTTTTTTCAACCAATCCTGATTTTACCCAAATTAGGGATGGCCATATTACACCCGACTTTCTATTATCCCGACACCCCAACATCTTAACATAACGACACCCCAACTTCCCCACATCCCCACATCCCAACATCCCGACACTCCAACATCCCGAAACCCCAACTTCCCCACATCCTGGTCAGCATCTCATTATCTCGTGCGATGTCAGGAAGTCGCGATGGCGGTGGGGATGTTGGGATGTCGGGACGCCGGTGGGATGTCGGGATGGGGCTATCTTTCAATGCATTCGCTATCTAATACATTGAAAGGATGCGTGACCGACCGACAGACAGATAGACGGACAGAGACTGGGCTATCCTTATGTTTAATTATTCAACGTAGTTGGTTCTGTTATGCCACCGTTAGTTAAACAGCAAAAGGATGGATTCCCGAGAGGCCGAGTGAGTACATACATACACTGCGTGACTATCGTGACAGACGAACATGTAAAATTCGACAGTAGGAGGAGAAATGTATATTTCCTTTCTCCTATGTAGGATACACTCTCAAAAATGTAGCGTACTTCTCGAAAAGTAAAAATGAATGTAACCCTAAACCGAGAATAAGAAGGTATTTTAAGAGTAAGTTCAGTTGCTCTAAATCTAGTAAGCGATCCTTCTAACTCTGAAAAAACCATACTTGGCAATAACTTAAAAATGAGTCCACATCTACCCCCATTAAAGTTAGGAGAACTTCATTGCGAGTAAGCCTACCGCAATTCACCCGCCCTTCTTGATTTGCACTTTGGACTTTATTAGTCTATTCCAGATTTACACATTTCCCTCATTTATTCCGGAATTTACATTCCTATTTTTAAAATTCCAAAATGTGTGATGCGGAGATTCAAAGATTGTTAACTCAACTTAATCTTGGAAAATACTGTCAGTTGTTTAAAGGTAAGATCTATTTTAAATTCCATTCTACATTTTTTAAAGTTAAAACTCTTAGTTTTGCACGTTTTTTTAACAGACAACAATCTAACCGACGATTCTTTACAACACCTTCAAAAAGATGACCTCATCCACGTCGTTCCAGTCCTTGGTGATCGGATTCTGATATGGAATGGAATAAATAAGTTGCAGTCTGGTTCGGTATATGTTTGTTTTGTTTGTGAAAAGAGATTTAAACTTTTAAAATTGTATTCTGATCACTTAAAAAATGATCATAAATTACTGGGAGCCGATTCACATAGGTGTGTTCATTGTGGTGGCTTATATCAAAGAAAGCCATACATCAGCCATTTAAAAAATGCTTTCAAGTTCCATAAGTTGCTATTGAGTGAAAATTTTCTCCCTGAAAATTACGAGGAAAGAAATCCACCAATTGAAAATATGAAAGTAGTTCACGCAGATTTTCTTGACCGAAGTTTCACAAAAGATTGCGACAATGATATTAACAAAGAACTTCGTGAATTAATTTTCAAATTGATTGCAGGAATTTTGCGTTCAGGAAAGGTCCCAATGAGCACAAAAGACGAGATTTTAACTTTAATTAAGGAGTTTACCGTAATGATCTTAGGAGAGGCTGTTTGCAGATCCATTATAATATTAAAAAGTAACGAAACATTAAGTGAAAAGTTATTTAAGCTTGAACAAATTAAAAACTTAGCTCACGTGTTCTCTTCGTTTGATAGTAAACACAAGTTAGACAAGCTTTTAATTGACGGAAATTTGTTTATTCCTGCTCGAGAAATAGTTTTGGACACAGATTTACATTTTCCATTAAAAATTGGGAACTAGCGACAAGTTTACAGACCAATTAAGCTTCAATATGTTTCAATACGTGACTCAATTTTCCAATTATTACAGAAACCAGGCTTTTACCACATACTTGACAAACAACAGTCAAATTCAGGGAGAAAATTTTCATCATTTCGAGATGGAAAGTTTTTTCGCGATTCCAACTTTCCATCTCAGGTAATTTTTATAAATATATACTTTGACGAGGCTGAGGTTGCTAATCCTTTGGGGTCCAAAAATGGGAAACATAAGTTGGCAAACTTTTACTATTCAATCCAAGATATGCCTTGTCATTATAATAGTTCAATTGAAAACATAATATTGCTCTGTTCCCTTAAAAGTGAGGATTTAAAGACATTATCTCCAAACTCGGTTATGAATATCATTGTCAAAGAGCTTTTATTTCTTTGGGAAACTGGGATAAATTTCAATCACAATGGCAAAACTATTAATATCAAAGTTGCATTGTCCCAAATATCGGGTGACAATTTAGGATTGCACACCATATTAGGTTTTTCCGAGGGATTTAATGCCAATTATCCATGCAGGCGTTGTAAAATGCATAAGCATGATTGTCAAACCGCTGTGACCGAAAACCCCGGAGTATTGCGATCAATTGAGAATTATAATCAGGATGTTGAATTTAGAAATCTTTCTGCTACTGGTATAAATTTTGAATCCGTGATAAATTCACTTCCATATCACCACGTAACGAAAGTGTTCGTGTTCGATATTATGCACGACCTACTGGAAGGGGTAGTTCCTGATTTACTCAATTTAATGATCAGTTTAGGAATTAAAAACAAGCGTTTCAATTTGGATAAGCTGAATTATCGAATTGAATCCTTTGATTATGGACGGCACTTCCGTAGAAGTAAACCGTCTCAAATTAAAGCCTCAGTGCTAAAGGGTGACACAAAGTCAGGACAAAATGCTTCTCAAAATTTGTGTTTGCTCGTCTCTTTATCGTTAATACTTGGCGATTTAATGCCACACGATGATCCTGTATGGAAACTATTTTTGCTATTACGAGAAATTTGTGACATAATTCTTTCGCACATTATTACGAAGGGTGGCCTTATTTACTTGGACTCTCTTATTTCTGAATTCTGTTGTAATTATCAAGAATTATTCAAACGAAAACTGAAACCTAAACATCATCATCTTCTTCATTATTCAGGTTCAATTGTTCAAATCGGTTCTCTAAGGCAGTACTGGAGCATGACTTACGAAGCTCGACACAAAGTATTCAAAACTACAGCGCATACGGTGTGCAATTTTAAGAATATACCCAAAACATTGGCTTATAGGCATCAGCTTGGGCGATGTTTTTCTTTAATCTCAAAAAATGTATTTTCACCGTGCACATTCGTAGTCCCTAAATACGAATTTATTCAGTTGAATGACTTTGTGCATGCTGAGCTTGTGGCTGATCATTTCCATTTCCAAGAAAATCCTATAATCAAAATATCAAATCTTGTTGAATCCAATAATTCTGAATTTAGAGTAGGAGGTTTTGTAATATTGAAATATTGCACGCTTTTCCCAGAGTTCGGGAAAATTGAAGGAATTTTATTAGAGGACGACGATTGTACTTTCATAGTAACCGAATTTTCTAGCAAGCTTGTGACACATTTGTCAGCCTACCAAATTTGTAAGTCGAATAAAATTCGATTAGTAGATCTGCATGCAATTAAGCATTACCAGCCCTTATACACAATGCATTCGTTTTTTGACAATGATGTCAACGAATATATTAGTGTTCCATTTAAATTAGTTTGAGTAATTCAATTTATTTTTATTACCAAGGTCTGACGTAAATGAATACCGAACTAATCCACTAAATTAACATAAATTTTAAGTACTTTGATATAATATAATAATTTATTTTGTGACAAGCGCGTCGAAGACGACAATCAAAGTTTGTTCACTTCCTCATTGATAAGCAACCGAGAACTTCTTGAACGAGGACTAAGATTACCAACCGACATTCTGCTATCCAAAAGGGCAGAATTATCCTCCCCATCATCTTCTATTACTCATCAGGTACGAATGAAAAATAACCAAATTTTCTAGCTGCTCAGTTTATTAATTTGTATTATTTTATATTTAGCAACTACCTTCAAGTCAAACGATTTTTCTTGAAGTAATCAGAGAGAAAGAACCGTTAAGCCAAAATTCCACTGCATCAACTTCAGATTCCATAGAATTGGCCACCACTTCTGGTTCCTCATTCACAAGACCAGTGGAATCCAGCCCGGTTATAAATACTAAATTAAATATTTTAAGTACATTGTTCTCTTCCATATTTTTTGTGTGCTCAATACGATTATCTGGCTTCGTCAATTTCAGAGCGCTCCCATACATGAACATCGATTTTATAATTTCGTAAGTCTTCGACAAGTGTTGCAAGTTTCTGGGTTGCTAAGCTTTTCGTATACAATTTTTTAATGGGGGTAATATTTGCAGGATATTGATGCGGTTTTGCGAAAAAATGATGCAGTGAAGCATATACTAAAGAACGTCCGGGAATGAATGGGAATGGTCTGAAAATGTGGTCATAAAATCACAATGAGTTATCGGAATTTTAAACTTTTTGCATATGTATAATACCAAATACGTACCTACATAATTTAATTAATAGCTAAGGCCGCCACACCCCCGTTGGCGACTAGTTCGATTTTCTTGCGAAGATTTTTCATTAAATTTTTTCCCGAAGTTTTTGCCACTTCCGAGGTGATTTTCTTCCATCGTCCTTTGAATTTTCGAAAGGTGTCAGGCACATCTTGAAGCCGGGAGTATACTGACTTAGAACGTGCCCAGAATTTTTCGATTGGGCGGAGTTGGGGTACATTAGGTGGGTTGATATCTTTTGGTACGAAATCAATATTTTTCTTTCTGAGGTACTCGGTCACTTTCTTTGCATAGTGACAAGTGGCGAGGTCAGGCCAAAACAAAACTTTATCATTTTTGTGAAACCTATTAATAAATGCTTCCAATCCAGCCTTGACGCAATTTTTCAGATAAATATCTTGATTGATATTCCCTTCGAGAACTACCGGGTCTGATACATGTCCGTGACTGGAGATGCATTGCCAAATGCAATATTTCTTTGGAAATTTGTCTTTTTTTCGTACTTTTTCTTCATAAGCCACTTCAGAGGGATCCGAGCTATGAAAAAAATGACGCCCTGGAAGATTTGAAGGGTCAACCGGAACATACGTTTCGTCATCCAGGATCACTACTTTTCCACGCATTTTCTTCAACAATTTTTGACAGCAATCCTTGATCCGACTTTCTTGTACGGGCTTGTAATTTGGTGCAGGTTTTTTGGTCCTTGCTTTGATTCCTAATTTATGGACCTTAATTTCCCCCAGGTAGCTTTTGGAAATTTTGACTTTCCTGGCAGCTACAGCTACTGACGTTGATGGCTTGGTTTTGAAAATTTTTTCAATTCTATTTTTCACTCGAGTGGTCGCTAGCTTCGCCGGACGACCAGCTGGCTTCTTGAATTGCACATTTTCGGAATCCTTGAACTTTTTTATGTAGGAATACACATTTGAACTTGGAATTCCTTCCTGCTTAAAAAAGTTCTAGGTCACCTTGGAGTCTCGGTTGGCTGTCGTGTTGTAGAACTCCATCACTCGTTTTGCTAACAGCTCCCTTTCAAACAAGCTTCTTCTACCCTTATCCATTTTTGAAATTTAAGAGTGATATACCAAATTGACCCTAATGAAGTGGGCTTTCAGAAATTTAAATTATTATAGTTCGCGGGTTTATTGATTTGTCAATATACTCGCTAGAGCGCGCATTCCCATTCATTCCCGGACGTTCTTTATTTCAGAAGATCCCAGCCAAGAAAATGGTGGTTAAGGATGACCGTCAGACCATCGCCGAAGTACTGGTGGATGCTATCATTGAAAATCTTGGAACATGGTACGTTACAGGCAAACAATAAAAGATTTTATTTGATTCAATTAGTCGCCGTTTATAGCCCAAGTAAGCAAGCAATGGACCAAATGGCAAAATATCTTGTCGGAAAATATCCAGCCCTAGGGGACCCCAGACGCAAGCATCTCGGTTACCAGATGTGGTTCATGGGTAGCAGCGATGGCTCCCCGGCGAGCGGATTTTTGGAGGAAAGGCTTAAAAATCAGCGAAAAAAAATCTCCGATAAAAAACTTCTGTCTACTTCAGCTACAAAGTGTAACGAATTGGATTTGCCCGTTTTGAATTGGATATCTGATGACGAGGATGGTGAGATTTTTTAACCTTTATAACCTTTAATGACCACTTGACTTCTCGCCCATTTGGTAGCCAAAACACTCTGCAAATTTTGCTGTCATTGTAATACCCTGTTAATATATAGATGATCCAGATCCGGAGGAAGGAATTCTGGAGTATATTCGCCAGAATTTTGGAACTGATGTTGACTCGGCAATGAAAAATACCGTTTTTCAACGTCGCACAGTGATACGCCGACTTAACGCGGTAAATGTAGATATTCTGGATAATTTAGTAGTATCCATGCCTCGACTTTTCGATACAGAGGGGATGGTATGTACAAATTATGTTATATGAAAGTACGCAAGAGTTAACTTAACAGGATTACTTTATCAAAATATATACATATATAGATAACTCAAGATTTCGATTGCCGTCATCCTGCACTGGCCTTCGTGATGTACGACCGGTGGCCAAGGGTATCTCGAAAAATCCTGGAATATGCAGAAGAGAGTGGAATCGACTACTTGAAAAAATTCGGTGTGATGAAGAGTAGTTATGACCTGTCCTCCGGTACTTTATTTACGAAATAATTATTTTTAACTCAAAGTTATGTATTTTTTTGTTCCTTAGATGACGTTACAATAATGGCTTATTGCGTATTGCCGTTTGTGCTTCCATCGTGTGGCCGACGGGCCGCATCCGACAACTTGGAGGACCAGTTTGACGATGGAGAACTGCCTATGGTGACTACGAGAGGAAAACGTAAGGCAAAAGCCGCTGGTCGTCCCCCCAAGAAAACCATGTCGATTCTGAAAGCGTCGGACTTGGACGTATACAAAAGCATGTTTGTTGTAAAACCGGTGCGTTATCGTTTGTACTATAATCTTAGGGCAATTATGTATAATCTCATTCTAATTAATATGCAATCTTCTTTTTGCCAGAAAAATACTCATGTAGCCGAAATTCTTAAGATGAACACACACCAAGCTCCGTTTTTACTTGCCCTGGGGACTATGGCCGATCTGCAGTTTGATTCATTTTTTATCATCATTCATAAGGTTGCCATTCCATGCGGTTCAAAATTTTTGAAAGCCTTTGACTCATTGACTAAGATTTTCACCGTGTTGCCACTTCCGTTTCCAGTTGAATCGTTTAACCATTGGTTATTTATTTATCACGGTGTATTTGGTAAACCTTGCCAATCAAATCTTCCACCCGTTGTACAGGCGTTGATTGGACAAATTATGCAGAATATTTAACTGTTTCAAAGCTTGTTTTACTGTTAATAATATTTCAAACATTTTTTGCTACACTGTAATATTATTTTTAACCTACCTATGAAAGTAATTGAATTGTAAAACTTAATAGTTGTGAAATAATAAATCGCACTCACACAAATAAATATATTTTTCCCCGTTTTTAACTGAACTTCTAAATTAGTAAGGCGAGCCCCGGACAGAGTAAGCCATATACTCAAAATCGTGTTCACTTTTACTTAGAATCGGGCAGAATTGCATCATATCGAGTAAAATCTTACTATGTATCGTTCAAGCCCTATGCATAATTTGGAGCATGCTACAACTCTGAGTGGAGTAAGTACGCTTACTCCAGACTAGTTGCTACACGCATTACTCCGGGCAGCGTCGAAGCACTTTGACTACCTATTGGAGTGACATTTTACTCCATTCGAAGCGAAAATTTTTAAGAGTGTAGAGCGAATTTCTCTGCTTATAATACGAAGAGATCAATTCATTTAATGAGTTAATACGTAATACATACATACATTATGTATGAATGATACATATTTGAGTATGTCGATAATGTGTATAATACCTGAGTATCTTTATCTAAATCTTATCAATTATTAATCAAATCGCTCCCTGACTTCGTTCAAGATTCTAGACTGGATTTACGTACATATTCTTATTTGCATCACATGACTAATGGAGCGTTACGACTTGGGAGGAAAGTAGGAAAAGTTATTCACAGTAGTGATACACCAGAAACTGTTTATTTGTGTAATTAATTTTCACTTGTAAATATGCAGGTCACGTTCCTCCTCCTCCTCGGTTTTCGTTTTCTATTAGCAAGAATCCAATTCCCTACTAGTCAGCAGTGGGAAAACTCTTGCCCAGAATTAAACGTTGTCAAACTGCTGGAAGGCGTCCCCTCCTACTGTGACGTGAACATTGCCCACGTTCTTGCGAAGGGGGAAGAAATCGCGCATTTCCTCCCAGGGGCTGAGTACCCTTGGCCAACCACAATTAATGCTAACCCCCCCTATCGGAGGGCACGGACCCCAAGAGGATTCTGCAACAACATTGACATTTCTCGTAATCGCGTCTCACCCGGGTGCAGGATTGCCGTAATGATAACAACCGGAGTGGGAAGATCGGATGAGGCGTTCTTTAAATCAATCATGAATTTGTACGATGAGATTACCACCAAAAAATACATGTTTAAAATTTCGTACTATATTACCGTACACATAAATCCGTCCCCTTTGTCTCCCGTAGCGATATTCTACACTATTCCGGAAGCCTTGCCAAGAGTAAAGGAATTTTTTTACGAATTGCAAACTGGTGAACTTCAAGGCAAAAGTGGTAGGCAACTAAACCGTCTAAAGGTCGTATTCGTAAAGAATGAAATAGCTACAGCTGTCACCTCGAAGTTTGACGGGTCTACTTCCATTTGCGTCCAGATAATCGTACCATCTTCTCCAGCGATTCGGGCAAGAATGGAGTGTCGCGGGCAGGGGAATCAGTACAATTTGTTGAAGGCTGTGGAGAAAATGTCACCACGAAACGCAATTTGGGGTATGGATTTTTCCGGGATAAATGTTCCCGTTCAGCCAATGCCGACGGGAGTGAGGCATCAAGGGTTCAACCCGTTTGATCGAAGGTCTGACCGAGATATTCGACTCCACCTGTTTTACCAACTGCTTTTTCAAGGAGGCGCGGAGAATATTAGTGTGACCAATTGGGGGAGAGGTAATGTTAAGGAGGCGACCATAGAGTCAGTTGTAAAAGCTCGTGGGGACGATTATGATAAACTCGTTATCTATATTCGTCACATAGGGACACAGTTCCTTACCTGTTATGAGGAGAAATTCATCACGTTCCAATTCTACCTGAGTCCATTCCAAACCGATCAATGGATTGGGATCCTCCTCTCCATCGGAATGGTGGTGTCGACTCTGTCCATCTATAAGAAATGCTGTTTCGAAATTGAAGACTCCATCTCTTTCGCGGCCTGGGTGCTCATACTAGGAACACTTTTCGACGAATTCGCTTCCGTTCCGAGGAAGATGGAGGGGAAGACGTTTTACCGACTCGTGTTCGGGTGCTGGGCCTTGATTGCAATAATACTCACAAATTGCTATACTGGGGTGATGATTACCGAGTTGAACGCCCCACTTCCAGGAATTCAGCCGTCAAAATGGTTGGATTTTGCGTGTGGAAACCGAACCATTCCCACCGGAGATATCATAAAATGGGCCGAGGTGGAAAATATCTTGGAGTATTGGGGTCAAATCGAAAAATACGAGAAGGGAGCTATTCCAGAATTGACAAATTTGTACGAGTCTGAGGATTGTTTCCGACTTATCTCACCCCCAATACGTGACGATCGGTTATATTTCAACGAGTCAGGAACTCTCGTCCCACCCACGTACATGTTTTCTTTCCTATTCGATGCATGTACTGCCTTTATTCTGGCTCAAGACAGCTGGATGGAGAAGTTCCACGACTCCATATCATCCTCATTCCCTGAAATTCTCCTCCTGCGTCCGGTACATTCTCATCGGAACGCGTCGAGATTCCCTCGTTGGGCGAGGAATGCGACGAATGCGACGATAATGGCTGGAATGAGGGTGGCGAATGAGCGGGAATTGGTGAAATGCGAGAAATCCGTCTACATCGCCGAATCCGACGACATTACCACCGAGTTGAGTTTATTCTCTGAGAAGTACGCCTGGAAAAAGAAAAGGTTTGTAAGCGGCAAAGATTTGCTAGGTCCGGAATGGAGGACCTGGTCATTCGAACGAGCAGGTCGGAATAAAATTCCGCAATATTTCAAATTCATGTTGACATCTGGGATTTTTAATCGTCTTGAAGTTGAAATAACTGCGAGAATGGTAATAGGACGACAGCCTGTGTTGCGATCTCCGAAGGATCATTGGTTAAGAGGCATTGATCCTCAAGCCGTGAATAGTGGTTTGATCACCCTCTTCATTCTTTGCGGTGGGGTCGTCCTAGCCGCCTCTTTATCCTTCCTGGTGGAATTTAGATGGCAAATAATAGTATTGGTGCAAGAAATGGTCAAAGTTTGTCAGAATCTTATAAATCGCACTAAGCGGAGGCTGCGCCGGCGCGTCAGACGGAACCGTCGAAGAAAGACTACAAAGCGGACAATGTGGATAAACACGACGCCATAAAGTAATAAAGTAAATCGCAACAGGAAAACTGGAATACAGAGATAGGATATGTGTAATTGTAATACTTTTGTAAAAATTTGAACTGCGAGGAAACTTACAACTTGGACACATTCATGCTTCAATGGGATGGGATATGCAACGGGTTGGTTCATAACGGGTGGTTCATAAAGTAAAATATGGCGGCTTCTAGTCCAAAACCGCAAATCACTCTTTTCTATCCACACGACTTTAAGATCAATAATCAAGTTGGCATTCGAAGTTTGAAACATCATGTAAATAACATCGTCTCGAGAAGACATGATGTGCAAAATAGAATAATTTGTACCCATAAAAATGCGACGAGACACCACAAGACTCTATATCTGACTATGGTCGGCAAAAGTGGTCCCATATCTTATTTCCTAAGTAAATGCAAATGAAGCATAATAAAATATTTGAAATTTACGATGTACAGTAAATTATTTTTTTTCTTAAAAAACCTCATTTTTTAGCCCGACCTAGGGATTACGTACCCGTGTTGTTGTTGGTCTGCCCGAGGTACGAGTGACTATGATAGGATTTTTTTAAGGCACTTTTTTTTCAAAAAGGTTAAGAGGCCGACTCTCCAATGTATGTAGGCATTGAAAGTCTTAGTTTGAAATATTTTGCAAATTCTTGACCGATTTTAATAATTAGAAATGTTTTGGACACCTTAAGCAATTTTGCGGAATACAAATTTTCAAAATTTTAAAATTCGACTTTGTTGACTTGATATTGAGGTCACAAAGTAAGGAAATGAACAAATTTCCAAAAAAAATTATTACTTCGCCTTACTTAGGCGATCTCGACATTAGTGACACGATATGTCGCATTTCTAGGGTTACTAATATAATGATGGATACCTAAGACCACAACCCTGGAGACATAGATCGGGGGTCTCCTACCTCCGGAGTACAACATTTGCACTCCGGAGTCCGGAGTACACGATCTTTGCCGGAGATCGGGGTACACGGAGTCGAGACGAAAGTTATTGTCGTATCAGGCAGACGGACGACAGACGGACAAGACGATTACATGAGCCCTGACTCGGGCTAAAAAGTTTACAATAACCAGAAAAAATAAATCGTACCTTTCTATTTTATGTCATAAATCGCTAGGTTCCTTCTCTGTGGAAATCAATTCTTATTATATATGTACATCAACTTTAGTGAGGATTTAACGCAAATTACGAAATTGATCCGATTTTTGTTGTTTTCCTTACTGATAACGAGTGAACACAATAACATAATTGCTTCACTATTTCTTCATTTCATAAATTATGGTCACCATATCCGCCGCCACAACGGACCTGGAAATGTTAGGATAATACCACACCTCCTTATACAATGAATATTGTTAGAGGACAAAGTGGCAGCATTCTACGGCGTAGAAGTATATAGTGAAGGACAAAGCTATGATTTTGGAGATAATTCTGTTCCGCTCTCTCTACATAGCCAGTTAGTATAAAAACACATTTTACCATATATGTAAGTACTGGTGACCATTTAATGTATCGACGAAGTTGTACAGATGTAAATTCGGTTTAAATTATTTCTAAATCAAGCCATATTACTAAGGTGTATTTATATTTTCAGATTTTTACCAAAATTTGTTAAAATTAGAGGGACGTGTCATGCTTCAGATAAAAATTTTCAGTAGAGTCATATCAATACCGTGGATTCTTGATTTTGTTTAAAGTGCAGCAAGACACGCAAAATAGCTAGAGCAACAGCCTGAACTATAAAAACCATAAAACCATAGAAATACATTATATTTAATACCAAAGTAACATCCTACCTAACGTTTGTATTATATGCATGCCCAAATCAACATCAAAAAATCAGTCAAACACAATACTTACCACATCTACCCCAATTTCCAACAATAATTGGCATCCTTGACTATTGGATGGAATATAAATGCCTGCACGAGACCGCCGAGCCAAACTTCGACTTGCACGATGCCATGGTTCACATCATCACCGTGTTTGATGCCGTGGTCAAGCGATCCTTCAAGGTTAACGTGACCCCCACGCTCCTCGAACTACCCTACTTGCCCGAATTCCCCAACATAATTCACGCCATGGACGGAATTTTTGGCGATATCGTCCCCCATATTCCATCCTACCGTGAAGTAGTCGCCCCGTTTTCGCACGAACTTCGACGCTACTTCGAAACCAAATGTGGCGGTGTTTGTCCCAAGTTGGAGGAAAATACTCAACGGAAACGTTCCGCATGATGCGCGCGCAATGTTTCTTGGACCGTCGAATTGGTGGGGCTTCTCTCCCTTGTCAGGATATCCGAGGCGATTAGGGTGCACATCGTTTTTCGATGATGTATCACCATTCTGTCGAACAACGTCGCCCTCGTCAACGATCTATTTAGTATGAACAAAGAACTCATGTTTCAACATCCCTTGAGTTATGTGGCCTTCCAAATATTTGAGAAACATGTCCCAATCAAAAAAGCAGTGAAGAAAGCTTGCAAAATTATTAGAGAGGAAGTATGCTACTACATCATGTGCAAGGAAGTCTTGCTAGAAACGTGGAGATGACGAGCTTGCCAAATTTGTCGATTGGATGGACTGCTTGGCCGGCGACCACTGCTACTTGTACGAATGGGCTGGGATCGGGATGACGGGACGATATGGGGCAGAGGGGAAAGTTGTGATGGAGGAAGATAGAAGATTGATTGTCAATTATTCAAATAAGTGTCATATTGAGTTGAAATGCGTAATTAAATAAAAAAATAAATACAACAAATTTAAAGATTGTGTTTCAAATCAGATTTCTTGGCGACTAGACTGGTTTTTCGCTTTTCAGGAAGAAATGATTGCATTATACAGTATGTTTCAGTGGAAGGTATAGGTTTTTAAAATTTTCTAAAAAATTCACCCATAGGGCGATTTTTATAAAATTAAGTTTGTTTGGTAGTACAACTATTGGAAGAAATTTTGTGACATGATTTGTGTTTGCAATTTTTATTTTGAGGTAGTGGTGCTATTACATATAACTAATACATATTAGTTATTAAGGGTAAAAGTTCTTTTATATTTTTATAGAGCAATGACACCACTAGCTAAACTGTAATGAAACAGTTTTACAATCAGTGGACCCAACTCATAGCGGAAACAACATTTTACAAAATTTTTATCTTATTTTATTTTATTTTTATGTTTCTATTAATTAGCTATAAGTAGATTGTCGTTCGCGGGCAGTAGGATAATCCATTTAGTGGAAATAGAAAATACATTCGAGGCCCTGCCGGTCCGAGAGCGAAATCCAAATCATGTTCTCCGTATTCTGGGAAACAATATGTAACCCTACTCTGGTGATACCTATCATGTTACGGAAAACTTCAACGGGACCAACATTTCGAAATTATAAAGTAGATGCATTCTCCATACAGAATCTATATAAATTTATATAAATATATTTATGTAAAAAAACTACCAAAAAAGGTGCTTGTAAAAAATTAGCACAGTCCATTCAAATCAAAAACATCCAAAGTAAACATAAATATGTACACAGTTACGTAACCCATACACAAATGTGTTACCCAATTTGATATAGCTATTTGTTATTAAATCCAAACAATTCGTTAACCAAAACAAGGGGTAAACAATTAATCAGGAATAATCCATCCTCACCTTTTTCCTCATATTCCATAATTTACAAAAGCTTCCTTCAACCTAAGTAGTAGCCTACACATAAATATATTTATGTACATAACCCTCAATTTTATTATGTAAACACACCAACCACAACATGAACCATTCCAAAATTATTATTTTTCCATCTCCAAAATTTCATTTTTAGATATTTCATTCTGTTTTATGTCTCATTTCCTTATTAAATTGCCCCGTCTCAAAGACCTTCCCGGATTTTGTAAGAGAGAAACGAGGACGTGACGTGGAAGGTGAGGTGGAGGTGATTTGTAGGATATTTGGCAGAAAAGTAGGGAGGAAATCATATTGTAGTGACTTCGTGCCCAGCCTTAGAGTTAAGAGGAAGCAGTCAACATCATTGGTGTTTAATATCGAAAAGTTAAATGTGTTAATAAATCTGGCGTTGCAAAATTGTGATATCGTCGTTTGTTGCACATATTATTTGCACCACTTCCTGCAAAGCCGAAGTCACCCTTGATTCCTCACAAGCCCACCAAAACCAGAATAAGCTCGCTCACGGTGTGGAGAGTGGTTATTCAAAATCATTGGCGCCCCCGGGTGGGCGGATTATGGGATAATTGTCAAAGTTCCACCGTCCACGTACCGGTGCAATTTTTTTCATGTCTTGGTCCATCTTCTGCCAGGGCATCTATTAAAGGGTCCATCCTTCTCTGAATTAAGTTGTTAAATAGAAATCCGACCAGGAAGAGGAACGTAACAATGAAGCAGTAGGTGATCTAGCAGAAACGTTTATCGTTACAGCAGTTACTCCTCTCTTCTTCTCTTCTAGTTGGAGGATTTACCTACGTTTTTTATTAAAATAAATGGCATTAAAATTTGCAAAATAATATGTACATACAATACAACTTGGTTGTCAAATAAAACCACGAAACTCATTGTTGTCATTTTAGTTGATAACTACATAACTAAAGTTACGCAACAATTATTTGCACTTGTATATTTATAAGGGATTTCTTGTACTCACTTCCGGCCCACATTTATCCTCCATACACGTTCTCACCAGGATAACCACGATTACAACCGCATACGTAAAAAATCCTTCCAACCCGGTAAATGCGACACACCATCCCGACAAGAATGGGAGGACGAGGAGGAAGAGGAACAAATAGAGGAAAATTCTAAACCCCCATTCACCCTGCCAGAGGAGGAATGTCATCTGTGGGATCGCTAACTTCACCCACTGGAAACTATCCAAACAAACTACCCGTCTGTAAGAAGTCGCCGTATTTTGACTGTGCCGTGTAACAACTCGAACCGATGAGGGGATGATTCACTACTTATGTGCCTTTTTACTAACTTTAAAATAACCCCGCTTATACAAGACCAGGACTGTTATCTTTAGTAGCAAATTTATTAACACACTTTTCAATCAAACAATTTACACAATGATCGGTTATTGCCACTTAGACTATTCCTTGCGACTTGTCAAGGTTGCCTTTACAATATTGCCAATGGTTGCCTTATAATATTGCCACTGATTGCCGATGTATTGCCACCTATTTTCATTCTAGGTGTCAACTTATTATTACTTTAACAACTTATTCTAACATCTTATTCTATTTACTTTCTAAACATAAACACCAAAGATGTACCTTACAAAAGGAGAACAGTTCATGAACAAACACAAACAAACACGAACACACAAACACTCTGCTCGTACCTAAAGAGTCACCCACAACTGGTGAACAAACACGAACAAACACGAACAAACAAACACGGTGTTCGTATCTAAAAAGTCACCTACAACTGGTGAACAAACACGAACAAACACGAACAAACAAACACGGTTCGACTTTAAACTCGCTTTGCCTATTATGTAGTATAATACACTAATCTTATATACTAAATACATACTACATATAATAGCTAGATTTGACATTCTCCCACCTCTTTTCTACATTTATGGGGAAAAGAACACTTAATCTAGGCACATACTAATTACTACACGAATCAATTAATTTGCGCTCATCACTTTTTAAACCAATCACTGTAGCACTTTGGTTTCTTGATATGACGACCATATCTTGTGACGACTTCGGGCAGGGCTTCTTTCACCAACTCTTCATCATTCACTTCGACTGTCTCAGGATCTTCGTCGACGTCTGGAACATCTGACTGACTCGGGACGTCCAAATTCTGTTTTGGCAGGTCGTTTCCGCATGGAACTTCCAAAGGGTAGAGGCGTTGTAAGGGACGGTCCAAAAATCCTTTCGCTGTCTTCACCAAAGCTGATCGATATTGGCCATCTCTCCCTTTGTTCAATTTCAGGATGCGTCCGAGGGGCCACTCAAAGCGTTTCTTATTGTCTGCTCCCACAAGGACGATGTCTCCAATCTTCGGGTCTCTTGTTTTCTTCTCACTGGCTTTTTGGACAAGCTGACCCAGATACTCTTTTCGAAATCTCGCCTGAAGGTCCAGCTGCAACTTTCTCATGACTTTGTAACGAATTTGCAGTTCAGTCCCCGTGATATGTTCAGCTTCCGGGAACTTCGTCATCTTTGTCCCTTTGAGGAACATGGCTGGGGTTAACGGAATCAAATCGTTGGCGTCTTCTGTGGTTCCCGCAAGAGGTCTCTCGTTGATCGTAGCGGCTGCCACACAAAGGCAAGTCATCATCTCGTCTTTTGATAAGAGGGCCCTCCCCAACATTCTTTTCAACAAACCCTTGACCGACCCCACAAGTCGTTCCCACCACCCTCCCCATCAAGCTGCTGTGGGTGGGTTAAAAATCCACTGGATCTGAGGAACATCCATGGTTTTCTCAATTTTCTCCCAGTCCAGATTCTTAAACAAATTGTTGGCTCCAACGAAATTCGTCCCATTATCTGAATAGATGGTGTTGGGCCTCCCATAGGTAGTCACAAATCTTTGCAAGGATCGTATGAACGACTCTGAGTCCAACGAATCCACCAAGTCTAGCACCACACATCTATACACTGCACACGTATAGAGAACTACCCACACTTTCGACTTGTCTTTCAAAAATAGAGGCCCAGCCAAATCCACCCCGGTCGTCGTGAAAACTTCCCCTGGCGTTACTCTCTTCGTAGGCAGGGCGACAGGATCTACTTGCAGTGGTTTGGCTTCATGTCGTCGACAGATGACACACTGTCTAAGGGCCTTGGTCACGGTTTTTCTGCTTCGGTGTATCCAATATTTTTCGCGGAGCTTGTTAATTACAAATTGAATCCCGGCATGTCCGTACGCACGGTGAATTTCTCGGATCAACTCGTGTACTAGTGGGCAATCATCTGGAAGTAGTATGGGATTTCGGAACGCGTCAGCGTCTTCCTTATACTCCAGTTTGCTTTTGACACGCAGCAGCTGATCTTCACCTTTCTCCACCCGTACTTGGATCTTCTTAAGGTTGGGAAAGTATTTTTCTTGCAGGGCAATCCACAGTGTCACCTCTGCCTTTCTCAACTCCATCAAACTGAGAGGACGCCTTAATGCTGGGAACTTTTCTCCCAACAAAACTCTCCTTGTACGAGCGACGAGTCTTATATTCTTGATGTAGGAGGCGTGTCGTAGCTGCATCGGCTTCATTGACAAATCAACTCCTACCAAACTTCTGGTCTTTTTCTCAATTGCGACCTCTTCTTCATTCAAGTCTTCTGGCTCTCGAGGCCATTCACATTCGGGTTTTCTTAGCCAATCGGGACCCTCCCACCATTTTGACTCCAGTAGTTCATTGGGCGAACAGCCTCTACTTGGGAGATCTGCGGGATTCATTATCCCAGGAACGTGACGCCACTGACTTTTCTCGGAAAGCTTCAGAATTTGGCGCACCCTATTGCCCACGAAAGTCCCCCAATCTTCATCACGTCTTATCCATGCTAGAGCTGTGGTTGAGTCTGACCAATAGTAGGTTGGGACGTCTGCAAAGTCCATGGCCTCTTTCACTGTTTCTGCAAGTCTTGCTGCAACCAAACACCCCATCAATTCGGCTCTAGGAATGGTCATTTTCTTCCCCTTCTTCTTAACATTTTGTTCATTGAAGAGAGGTGACACTCTTGACTTCGCCATTAGGAGTTGGACTTGTACACATTGTGAATTCACGACACTTCTCACAAACACAATCCCCCCGTAGGCATCTTGGCTGGCATCTCCAAAGGCGTGTATTTGTAACTCGTCGCCTTGGACGGCCCATCTCGGTAACTTAATGGCTCCCAACGCCGCCATCTCGGAACACCAAGTCATAGCTCTTTCCTTCCCAGCATCGTCCCACTCTTGATCCCATTTCAGTTCTTCTGCCCTCGATTCTCGGAGAAGAACTTTCAATTGGAGGACTGCTGGGGAGGTAAACCCAATCGGATCAAACACTTGTGATGCGACGGATAGTACACTTCTTTTTGTAATGGTGGGTCGCTCTTCACTTCCCCATCCCTTAGGTAGAACACAAAACAACACCTCTTCCCTCTTGTCCCATTGGTAACCAAGGACTGAGGTAACGTTTCGCTCCATTTCTTCGTCCGTGTTGGACTCCCATTGGCGAAGATCCATACTTGCTCTGGCCAACATCTCGACGGCTTGTATCTTGAAATGGGCGTACTCTTCGATGGTGCGGAAAGAACTCACGTTGTTGTCGACGTACAGCGACCTCATCAACTTTTCACTGGTTTCTCGCTCGCTTTCTGGAACGCTCTTCAGATGAGCTTCTAAGACAGCTGCAAGGACGAACGGACTACAGTTGAGGCCAAACACAACTCTGCAGTGTTGATAAACTTTCATAATCTTCTTTTCCACATCTTTCCACCATAGAAATCGTTGGAATTGCCTGTCCCCTTCCTGTACTTCAATCATCTGGAATGCCTTTCTAATATCCGAGATTGCTCCCACCTTTTCACGTCTAAACCGCAGCAGGATGGAGAGTATCAATTCTAACATGTTCGGGCCTTTCTCCAAACACTGATTGAGGGATGGATTCCTTCCAACTTTGCACGACGCATCGAACACTGGTCGCACTGGCGTCGTGAGACTTTCAGGCTTGAATACTGGACGGTGGGGAAGATAGTGTCCACTGGTGTCGTTCTCTGGCACTTGCACTTCTTCAATTATCCCTTCCGTTTCCCAGCTCTTGAAAATTTCATCATAATTTTCAAACTCATTCTTGCTAATTAGCTTGTTGGTGGCTCCCTCTAGACGCTTGGCGGCGACTGATTTATTACAGGGTAGGGACACTGCCTCGCTCACCCATGGAAGCTTGACCACATATCTGCCATCTTTGGTTCTTGACAGTCTTCTCTGAAAGTCTTCTTTCACCTCGAGATCTTGCTCATTCTGAGTCTTCTTTTCCGCACTGTCGGTGATCCCCAAGGCGTCTAACTCCCACAAGGCCGTAATTTCTTGCGAACGCACCGTCATCGCAATTGCTCTTGTAGCTAGGCATGGAGTCTTCAAATATGGAACTTCGCCATTCACATACCATCCGATCTTCGTCTCGGTGGCCATTATTTCCTCATTCAAATGGATGACTTTTCCCGTGCACAGCTTTGCCAGGAGATTTGCTCCGATGAGGACATCAATTTTATTCGATTCTGCATGACAGTCGGTGAGAACTACATTTAGCTTAAGTAGTTTCCTTATCCACGGGCCGACTGGAATTGGGCCTAAGCCGTCACAAATTAGCTTGGCACTGAAGGGAGGTAATTGCACTTTCTCACTGGGAACTCCCCGCGGCAAACCCTCAATCTTGACCTCGTACTTCTTTCTGGCACTGACTTCATAGCCGCCCCCGAGCACTTCGGTAGAGAAGACGCCTTTTCCCACCGGGGCTAGCTTCAGTTCCTCGACGAGGTCTTCACGAATCTAACTAACGTTACTGCCTGTGTCAATTAATAGTCGAGCTTCTCGACATTCACCGTTAGCACCATACACTTTCACCTTCATGGTGCCTTGGAGGACACGTTTTTCATCCAGTACGGTGGCTCCCATTGTCACCGCATGTTGAATCGTGGTTAGAGTCTGAATCCCATCTGTAATTTGCTGGACTGACTCCTCCTCCTTCTTTTCATAGCACAAGAGTTTATAATGGTTACCCCCACATGTGGCGCATTTCACTCCTGCTTTGCATTCACGAGAACGATGTCCTTTCTTTAGGCACTTGAAACACACGTTTGCTTCTTTCATTCTCATGTTTTTCTCTTCTTGACTCATTTTCTTGAGATGGAAGCAGGTATGACTCTGATTCCCTAACTTCCCACAAAATAGACAGCTTTCCTTAACGCTTCCCGAATATAACGCTGCTGCCGTGAAAGGCTTCTCCCCACCTTCGTACTTCTTGCTCTTTTGGTGATGCTGATCCGTCCGCACTGAAGGAATTTTACTTGATCCAAACCCATGTTGAGCTAAGAATATTTGCTGCTCTCCTTCGACTTCTTTCTCCAAGAATGCCATGAGATGTGTCAGCTTGCTTTTTCGTGGGAGACCGTCTTGATCATTTTGAGCTGGGATTCTCAACCACGCCCGTAATACTTCTGATGGGAGACTCGATTCCACCAGAGGATAAAAATACATGGATGGCTCAGCCTTACTCTGGTCCAATGTATCCAAAGCTCTCAAGTGCGTCTGTAACTTGAGGAATAGTATGTCCAACGGTATCTTCTCTTTTGATGTTACGTTGGCAATCACAAGATTTAACAGCTCCCTCAAATATACTTGAAGCTGCAATCCTTCTCGACCATATCTTCTCTTCAGGGACTGTATGGCTGCTCCATAATTCTCTCCGGTAGCAGGGAAGGCAGTAATAATTGATCGGGGCTCTGACTTGGGTTCTGTGGCTTGGAGCAGGTATTGAAATTTATCATTGTTATGAAGATCTTCATCATTATGGATCTTCTCAAACTGACTCCACCATCCCAACCAGTTCTTTAAATCCCCGTCAAACTTCGGTATTTCTATCTTCGGCAACTTGAACGTCTTCTTCTTGGACGATTCTGCCGCTCCATTGTTTGACGAGAAATCTGACGCAAAACTACCAGTGGCACCATTATCACTTGACGGACGAGCCATGAGCAACTCAATTCTGGATTTTGCACGGTAGATCTTGTATCGATATTCTTCAATTTTGATATATTCTTCGCCGTATTCTTCTTCCGTGCTATCATCCAACATCACGCCCAAAATCTTCTCATCAAGGTCGTCCAGGTCTGTGGCAGATTTGAGTAGTCCTCTATACAACGTTTGCAAGTCCACCATCCCGGGATTATCCTGCGAGACTTCATGTTCTATTGCATTGGTCCTCCTGGTAATGGCCGCCCTTATCGGTGTCCTGGATTTCTTCAGTTTCTCCATGTTGTCTCGTCAAATCTCGGGAACAACAAATTCAACAAACAAAAAACAATTAGTGTATGGCCGATCTGATACCCTACTTATGTGCCTTTTTACTAACTTTAAAATAACCCCGCTTATACAAGACCAGGACTGTTATCTTTAGTAGCAAATTTATTAACACACTTTTCAATCAAACAATTTACACAATGATCGGTTATTGCCACTTAGACTATTCCTTGCCACTTGTCAAGGTTGCCTTTACAATATTGCCAATGGTTGCCTTATAATATTGCCACTGATTGCCGATGTATTGCCACCTATTTTCATTCTAGGTGTCAACTTATTATTACTTTAACAACTTATTCTAACATCTTATTCTATTTACTTTCTAAACATAAACACCAAAGATGTACCTTACAAAAGGAGAACAGTTCATGAACAAACACAAACAAACACGAACAAACAAACACGGTGTTCGTATCTAAAAAGTCACCTACAACTGGTGAACAAACACGAACAAACACGAACAAACAAACACGGTTCGACTTTAAACTCGCTTTGCCTATTATGTAGTATAATACACTAATCTTATATACTAAATACATACTACATATAATAGCTAGATTTGCCTCGTCGTCTACAATATCATCAGGATTCTCAGGACGGGACGGATTTAGTCCCGTGGACGGTCCTGCGACATCCTCAATATCGTCACCCGCCCCCTCGGACATCCCCATTCTTCACAGGCCCAATTATAATTACTAGATTGAGAAAAATCTACAACTAAAATTAATCTCACCCGACTACTCAAATACTTAGAATCTTTGGATATATATGAAATTACATAAATTACCTTGCAAATAACTTAGTGTGTCAAACAATTTATTTATTTGTAGCACGAGACTGGAATTGTGGCTTGGTAAAATGTCCACATACTTAGAACCGGCTGACTCGATCACTATTATTTTTCACAGTCAAACTATACAAGTGCATGGTATATAGGAAAATGGTGTGTTAACAACCACAAGCTCTGTAGAACAACACCCATGAATCCCATGACTTTAAATGAATATACTTTTACTCAATCCTTTATGATCAGCAGCATTGCTCTAAAATTTGTTATAAATTAATTTCATATGTAGTATGAAATTCAAACATATTAATTAGTAGGCAAAAACAAGGAAAATTACCAAGGTAAGTACATGATAAATTCAAGTTTCACACATTTTGTGTGCATCAATTCAAAACCATAAATATGCTAGCAGGAAATTAATCCGTTCCTTCTTTGAGTCGGTTTAGAAGCTCTTATTTCATTTGTGCATTAATCTTATTTTTTCAAACAGTATGCATATTCCAGCATTCAACCCGCGGGTCAATTTAAGCATGTATCTATGTAGATAATTGCCTTCGTATTTAATCTAATTTGTCTACACTTATAGTTACTCAAGTGCAGAGTGGTCACCAAATAGGTATACGAATAACTTAATAACAAAAATCGTATTTTCTCCAAACTCAGTTTTATCATGAGATTTGACTCAATTCCTAAAAAATGGGATTTAACCCCAATTTTATTCCCATTGTTAACTTATTTCGTGTCAACCCTGCATCAGAACGTAAGTTGTGTTCATACTTAATACCAATTTATGAATTAGATAACCCTCCATACATAAATGAACCTGCATAGTAATTTCTTTTAATACATGACAGATTGAACCACGATCACATAAATACTTATGATAAATATATCCATATCATCCATATCCATATATGTGATTATCCATATCATTTTATTATTACCCTCCTAGATGCATACATACTCTTCTTCCTTGTAAAGTTGAGCCATGACAGAAATTGAGATCTTCATGAAACCACACCACTTCCCATCTCAACCTCTTTAGTCAGTTAAATTAATATGCACAAAATATATAATCTCGACCATTTGGCGTGGAAGCTGACAATTATTTAGAATGGCTTAAGTTGAATGATGAACACATCCTTATAACTAATAGTTATTAACTATGTACGTAATTCATAAATAAGTGAATTATGAACTATTATTTTCACATGAATAATATCATATATGTAATTATGATTAATCATAATTAGAACCGATTGTATCTAAATTCGACATGAAGTTGTTTTTTTATAAAGATATGTTCATCGGCATTGGAGGACATGTTTTTGAAATTATTTAATGCTGACAAGCTTTCGGTACATACAGATACCTTCATCAGGTCACAAAAATCGAATTCGGATTATAAATGACAAGTACATACATATGTATATGATTTTGAAAGATAATGGATGAACTCATATAAAGTCACTGTCCTAGTAATACACAATTTTCTACCGCATGGCAAAAACACTCTTTCTGAGTGGTAACAAAAAGATCCCACGTCATGGCAATTTTTTACCACTCGGTAATGTTTTGTTACCATCTGGTAATAAGTTTGTCTTGTACAAGGCCGATGACTATATATGACTTCATCCATTACCGGATTATTTTGAGTGTAAAGTCGCCAACGAAGTAATAGAAAAATATATTACCGCATAGTAACAAAACTATTCCTTTTTTCCGAGTGGTAACAACAAAATTACCACATGATCGTAAATTATTACCAATTCACAATATTTTTGTAACCACGCGGTAACAAATTTTCTAATACAAGGTTTACGACAATATCTGAGAATATCTACATATTTATACTCAAATATCGGCTAACCCTGTTCCACAAACAAATCCATAAATCTCGTCGGAAATCCGTGCGATGCGAGATACTCCGCTTCCAAGTAGGCTTTTGAGCACAGGCGGTCTTGAAATGTGGAGGAAATATCGTAGAAAACGGTTGGATTCTGGGTTTTGCAAGATTTCTGACAAAAATTACGCCATCTAGTTCAGCATGTACTGGAATATTTCCAACGGGCAGTTTACATAAAAACGGACATCTTGGAGAATGTCGTTCATGTTGTTTAACTGGGTCTGAATTTGCCCCCTCCTTCCAATCATGACACGACAAAAGGCACATTGTACCTGGAATTAAATAGCTATATTTAATCACAATGAACTTATAAATTGTTGGACCAGTTTTGTTGAATATAAAACAATTACCGCATCAGTGACTTGCACATAGAAGAATCCTGCTTTGGCACACGCCTCTGGTGTCGGAATTCCTGGCGGCCATTTATTTTCCAAAGAAGAATGTCGACAACCTTCTTTCCTCAGTCTTTAGGTGTCTTTAGGTCTTTTGTCGTGTCATGATTGGAAGGTGGGGGCGAAATTCAGACCCAGTTAAACAACATGAACGGCATTCTCCAAGATGTCCACCTTTATGTAAACTGCCCGTTAGAAATTTTCCAATACATGCTGAACTAGATGCGGATACCCAAAACGAAGATGAAGTTAGTGACGTCTGTGGAAGTGTGCAATAATCTCAATATTACTTGCTAAATTTTTGTTTGGGGTTTATCTCTTCTCGTACGACCAACAACACAACCAAAATCACAAAAAAAGATACGACGAGAGGGTGGATTGATGGTGATGGCTTTGTCAATTTTGCAAGCACACCATTATTCCATCAACTCTAGCTACTTCGATTCAACACGACCTCCTCTCAACTCCACAAAATACTGGGAGACTGCATTAAAACTATTGCTGCATTTTTTTTTGGAAATCGATTTTTAATTTTTACCTATTTGCATCTTATGAATAAAAGTGTCTTATTATTATTTGTACCTCGTCTAATTTTTTTTTTTGCATCACCAAACGACGCCGGATGAAAATTATTATGAGCCAAAAACGAACATAAAATCCAAATCGAAACTTTAAAAAAAAATTCTTGCCCCACCCTTCAGCCCCCAACTAACCACACCCATCATCAACCCGTCTATCCATTCCCGTCCAGGCTGTAACATAAAACACTACTCCTATAGTCCACGCAATTATGACTCACTTAAAAAATAAGGCTCGGAACGCTGTCTGTTTTGCAATCAAACATTGTAAAACTGTAGATCTTCAAAGATTACTAGATTATGCGAACGACTTAGAAATCGCGTTGACGGGAGCTTTCTCAAATATCGATAATGATATAGACAAAATCATTGCAAAAATGTCCCCTGGTACCAAGTTGCAACAATTACAGATAGATCTCGACACAATAACGGCGAAAAACGATGAACAAACATATTGTAAGGTAATAGTTGGCATCCTTGATAACTATGACAAGAATTGGAAAGTTTTACCGAGATTTGACCAACATAAAATAATTCTGTAACAGATGAACTCATGCACATGGGTGGTAACAGGGTAATATTATTACCCCGTACTAATAAGGAAAACTGGCAAAGTGATAATATGTTTTTTATATTTCTGTAACCACACTAAAATAATCCGGTAATAGATGAAGCCATATATCTTCGCCGGTCTGGTAAAAGGGAAACTTATTACTGGATGGTAACAATAGTATTACTGAGTGGTAAAAAAAATTGCGATCATCTTGGATCCTTTTTGTTGACACTCAGAAGCAGTTTTATTACCATGCGGTAATAAAATATTTCTTACCAAACCGGTGACTATACCTGACCTTATCAATTACTGGATTATTTTAAGTGCGGACGGTAGTACTTGTTACCAGTTCATCTATTATTTAGAATATCGGGATGATTACATTTAATAATATACTGAAAATTGTAATAAATCGTCACCGTCTAACGTGTCAAAATGGAGCTCATTGTAAATTTGTTCTAACTTATTACACACACCCATTAAAGTTTAAGTATACAGAGGAACAGAGCATCATAGTGGAGAGTTGAGAACTGCCAGCGCAAATCCATTGCACTCAAAATCTACATGCATGCTTTTTCATAAAAGTGCCAATATTTTCGCTATTACTTTGTTGGTGTACTTGGTTTTGGTGTCGTTAGCTTCCTAAGTTCACGCCTAATAATTCTATTCTCTTAAAACTTCAATTAAAGGTCAGGGGGAGGTGTAATATGGATAATTCGTAAATCTATTTATAACCAACATTGCACCGCAGCGTGACCTTTAATTGAAATTTCAAGAGTATAAACATAGTAGGGCGTGAACTTAGGAAGCTAACGACACCAAAACCAATTACACCAACAAAGTAATAGCGAAAATATTGGCACTTTTGTGAAAAAATCGTGATTTTCTCGTTCCACTTTGCCCCACGGAGAGAAAATTTGGTGGAAATGGTAAAATTCATGTACGTACGATGACAATGAAACGATTTATCATCAACTTGACTTTTCTGGGATGATGAGGGAGCGCTGGGACCAGACTGTCACCTATGTGGTCAGGAAATTGTCGATGTGACCGCCCCCCTCAATCACAAAGGAGTCGTCTACACTGTAATGTACAAAAACGACATCGAGGAAGGCAGTTGGAAATTTTGCTCCCTTCAGTGCGTATATTGGCTAAACTTCTATCATAAAAACCGATGCAATATTCAAATGTCTTGTGACTCTTATCTCAATATTCAACGATCCAAACAATGGGCCTGTCCGAATTATGTACCTATTTTTATAAGTTTAGACCAGGAAAAACACAATCATATTATGTACGAAAAGTTATTATTAAAGTTGGCAAAATTGTTGAACCCATTACGTATCGAGCTAACCTGCACGTGTGATAATGCCAAGGTACTCAATTATATTAATGTCACCTTTAATGAACTTTTTGATAATTATGGCATAGGATAAAGATGTTATTATTTTTATGATACCTTATGTCTGTAATGAGGAAACGGATTGTGAAACAATTTTTACCCATTGTCACTATTGATTTGATTTGTTTTGAGTGCAACTGCTACGATTTAAACTTTATTTATTTTAACTAGTCGTCCCTTTTCTATATTTATATACTTTATCTTTATTACCTCTTCCTCTTTCACTTTCTATAAATTATATTTTTAAAATTGTCATGATTTGGAAACCAGTTTATATTAACTGATAATTGTTGACAAATTAATAAAGGACTACTTGAACTTGAATGTATGGGAGTTGAACCAACTTAAAATCTAGCCATCTAAATAATCATTTCATATCGCTCAAAAACATTTTTCTAAATTATAACACTATCATTAATACCGTCTTCAGGATGTCCTTTCTCATTTACGTATTCTTCTCCTCACCACAATTTGCTCTGGGGTCTCCTCCTCGTCACTTTATCCGATTAAAAACCATACATGGAAACCAGACCCTATCGACGAATACCTGTCTGGCCTAGACACTGTAAGACAAATTCAAAATGACCCCGTATTATATTGTGGTACTTTTTATTTACAGTTGAACAGTTGAATTTTAGTATTTAGTAGAAGTTTCGTGTCATTTAAAAATTCAGAGCTAACATCAAGGCGTTTAGTCTTATAGCAATACGTGTTTAACAAGAAATTGGAGAATAAGTTAGTAATGGATAAAGTAATTCATTGGTAAACTAACAAATTGTAAGTAATCACACTTATCGTTTTTATAATTTTTGACTTTGCGATAAAATATTCCCTAACATGTGTACTATTATTTATCTTTTAAGAACCCGGTTGTCTTATAATTTAAAAGCAAATAAAATCGCGTACTTCAACTCTTTATACCTTTTAAGCTTTTTAGATTTGCCTTTACTTAAGCAAATTCCAGCACGAATTAAAAATAAGATAAATTAGATAAAATGACAATTTTAATTATTTCTGTACATCTTTACTTAGATTTCAAGCATTTATCATACGTCCGTGCATTAATTTATCATGTTTGACACGCATAAAATTACTGCAGAATAACTTGTCACATACATAACACGGATATATGTCATCTATAAATGGCGAACAAATGGGGGTAATTTTATCAACGGTTCAAAAGCTGCTTACTCCAAAGTTAACTAAGCCCTGTTGGTCTAGTGGTTTGGGGGTTGGACTGTCACCACGCAGTCCTACGTTCGAGCCCTAGACCAGAGAAACTTAGTGAATTCTACTCGGCTCGGTGTTAGTACGGGGTGGGTGCTCCCAAGTGTCTGCTAGTCAGCTAAACGAGGGTGCAGAGCCTTGCTCTGCTTGGGAGCCGCAATAGAGTCCGCTCTCTATCTGCAAGAGGAACTTGTGGGAGACCAGTCATGAATTTGTACTGAACAAGGAATTCCTACCTTTCGCGGAAACTGCCGAAACAAACAAACAAACAAATTATGGAAACTTTGTAGCACACTGGATATGTGAACACTTAGATTACACTGCAGATTACAATAAATTTATTACAGAGTAGAATCCGGTGTCGCATTAATTAAAGGATTTGGTCCCAACTGGTTATCCGAATGTCAATTCAATACCAATACGATTCAAAATTCAAGGTTACGTTGATACTACAATTGTATAATCCAATCTCTTTAACTACACAATTGGTTCGACACAATCATTTAAATGACACGTCGTCCCTCATTGTAAATATTTTCAGGTGCAGCTGTTGTGCCCATTTTCATTAAAATCCAGGCTGTTATACTATTTATAATCTGAATCACATTAAAAGTTGATAGAAAATCACACCTGTCTGTACAATATAAAAGCGAGAACATTAGGTTTATTCTAAATGTAGAAAGTTGAAAACATCATCATGATTTTGCTGGTCCTCGTCACCCTTACGTCTGCCGTTATGGGAGGTAAGTTTCCAATTATTACACAATACAATATTATGCTTCCCAAAAAATCTCAAGGTTAACACTGAAATTACCCAACAGTTTAAACCTTATTTGTGGAATTTAGAAAAAATAATTTGCGCTTATGTATCCTTGTGTATCCTTATGTATCCTTGTATCCTTATCCTATGTGTGTATCCATTATTTTTACAAATTTAAAAAGCTTGATCTCAAATTTTTCAAAAACTTGATTTTACTCAACAATCATCTACTCTCCTTTAGGCCTCCTTCCCGCCGCACCGGTTACCCTTCCACCCATCTCCATTCTGGATCAATCCATCGACACCGGTCCCTTCGATGCCAAGGCCAACATCACCTACCAAAATAATGAACTCGACTACGACGTTGGTGAATGGGTTAACCTGTCCGAACTTCCCGGCCCGATTCATATCCCTGTAAACCAATCCATGCAGGCTCTTGGCGCATTTGGAGAAAATTCTTGGGCCGTTATGAATGGCTCACTGTCCATCCCGGGGTGCTATAACATGTGGCAAGTTAACGGTGCGCTGGGTCTGATAGGGTCTAACGTGGGAGGTTCTCTCATCAATTGTCTATACGGAGACCAACTTCTCACCGTTCTGTTGGATCCGACATTGCTACCTACGGCGTATTTCATACGGGACATTCCAAAAGCCTAAATGACAAACCCGCATTCAATATCTGAGAAAATTATTGATTTATTGGAAAATAAAAGACAATTCTTTAATTTTAACAAAAGTCCTGGTTTACATCATATTTTCTTCAGCCGTTTCACATTGAGAAACGGCTGAAGAAACGGCATTTGAGAAATTCTCAAATGTGTAAAGAATTAAAAGTATATTATTTTTTTTCGGGCACTTTTATAATATAATCATGAACTGTAAGTAATATACAATTTTTTTTACTTTCTACTCCTTACATAAAGCATCCGTACATATTGACAAAATTTGGCGTTTGATTTATCCTTCACCTACAATGTCACTTTTAAACCTATTGCTATTTTACCAATTGGATATAGAATGTAGAACACAAGGTTTTTTTCCTACTTGTATAATTAAAATAAAATCAATTTAAAAATAGATGAAATATATCAACATATGAAATAATAATTTTAGGTAGGCCACCCCAAGCATCTGTCCTAATTTTTATAGAATTTGTATTGATATGCGTGAAAAATTCTAGAAATTATTTGTTAACCATTTTTCCGTCCTAAAATTTTCCAAAAACTTAGATTCCAAAAATCCACTTCCAAATTTGCAAACATCAGCAGAATTGAACATTCCCATAACTCCCTTCAAACCAAATTCCTGGAAAATTAGGAATTTTCCCAATTCCCTAAATTCCCAGGGATTGGGAATCATGTACAAGTTTATATAAGTATTACATAAAATTATAATTTTGCCTTGTTTGGGAGCGTTCACTTGACATACATTTTATGTTGATGTGTGATATGTGTGATATGCGACAAGTTCTACGCGTTTTAAGAACCTACCCTATTCATCTATCTATTCATAATCTTTAAAATTAAATTTGCCCGTTAAAATTGTCACCAAACATGCTTCTCTCGTTTTACATTTTGTAATATACGAACGAATGAGATAGAGAAACGGACAAAAATCAAGTCATAAATCAGTTTCGCTTCTTAATAAATTTGGAGGATACATGCATGGCTAAAATGCAAAATTTAACCTCCACACAAAATCTAGCTGCAATTATGTTCCCGCATTGTTTAAATGGTAGGGTAATTGTTCTTATTACATCAGCGGGAAGAAATGTCCTGTTAGAACCTCATAAATCGGTGGTTACACTCTACATCATTGAGCACATTCACATTGAAGTGAACGGGATAAAAAAATCACCAAATTTATTTCCCTTGAGATTTGTCTTATAAATGGGTAGAAGGACAACAACTTCTATGAAATAACATCGTCACTCCTCCAATAAATGATCTGAATAATAATTTTTTTTTTTTGTTTTTTTTTCATAAATATCTCATAAATATTTGGGGAAGAACACCTACAAGAAGACCAAAGTAAACGTCCTAAAACCAAGACACAAACAAACACGGAAGTCGCCATGTCGGAACTGTATCGGGGTCACCTTGCCGGTAAGAAATCCAAATTTGTTGTCAAATTAGACGACTCCTTGTTCTTCATCACGGATTGCTATTCGAAATCCTGAAATGACATGAAGAAATTTGTATGAGCAAAGTGAAGAGTTTTCGGACAAGATTATGATAGTTGGTGCTATGTGTGGTCGTGTGAGTCTTGACTTGATTCGAGTTCCACAGAATGTAAAGATAAATGCTGCAAATTGTGTGATCCACCTCTGGAAGTAGAAATTCCAAAACGTTACCCCAGCGGGACTCGCAAGGTACTTGTACACCACGACGTGGCGTCCTCACATACTGCTCGGAACACTGCCCAGTATACAGCGGAAATAAAGTAAAAACTCGGAGCAGTACTCATTCCTAACAAAGAAATAGTTTTAAAAAAGCATAGTTAAAGAAAAGAGCGTCTACTTTAACTGGAGTTTGAAAAGTTTTGGAGAAAGTAACCCATGAAATGAGACAGAAAGCTTTAAATTTTTGGAAACGACTACTACGCCCTACATCGTCGTACTAATCGTGAAACAACCTAAGTGCAGTCGTATCTTAATTCCGTTTTAGTAATGTACTTAGGATGTTTCGGAATTAAAAAACGACTGCATTTGGGTTGTTTCAGACTTAGGAGGGGAGGCCCTCTATATGCAATTAAGGACGATGGATGCAATTTGGATATTTGATAGCTCTAGGTGAATGGTGGATAAATTATTTTTGTAAAAAACAGTCTTCGGTGCGATAGAGAGTCGCGAATAAAAAAAGAAAACAAGAAATTTTGTATTTTTTAATTTAGCAGATATCAGACAAAGGAAGAATTTACTATATTTAAAAATTTTAGGATTCGAATTGCTGGCAGGTTGCCAAACCGTGGGCCCAACAGCTTTTGAAAAATTGGAATAATTATGTAATTTATTTGGATTTGTAGCTAAGTTAGACGTTTAGAAGTTTTTGCTTGTTATTATCTAAAGGTGATTGCTCAGAAGTAACAGTTCCGAAGCTTACCAGTGTACTACGGAGGCAGCATAATTAAAATCAAATTAAACTGTAGTTCGTAGTTTAGTATATAAAATACGTAATTTCGTTTCTTAAATAATTTTTCAAAAGCTGTTGGGCCCACGGTTTGGCAACCTGCCAGCAATTCGAATCCTAAAATTTTTAAATATAGTAAATTCTTCCTTTGTCTGATATCTGCTAAATTAAAAAATACAAAATTTCTTGTTTTCTTTTTTTATTCGCGACTCTCTATCGCACCGAAGACTGTTTTTTACAAAAATAATTTATTTTATAGTTTGTCGATGTAAGTATATACAAATTTCTATCTCAAAGAATTTTAATCAAACTTATTTCTTAATATAACTTTGCATTATTAAGTGTTGGAACTAATTTATGTCATACACAATAATTAGTACAAAACGGCATACCATTTTGCCATGCGACTTTGCCGTTTAGTATGCTTACCGTTAGAGGGGTATGAATTAGGCATCATCCAATTAAATGTATTAATTGTATGATTGTATTAGTTAATCAGAGCTAGCAGTTAATCTGGGTCACCCAATGTTAAAAATAGCGGAATTATGGGTTGAGATTGACTATTTTAAAAAGTTATCTAATCCGGATTAATACCCAATTAATTAAACTAATTAGTAGTTGCACTCCACTCGATACACAACGTGAATTCTCAATGATGTATTTTAAGGAGTTTTAACATGTTTGGGAATCTTTAGAATACAGTACAGATAATTATTATTGATTGAAATTGCTGCAAATTAATGGTTGTAGCCTATTGTTGGAGTTTCTTAAAATTTAAGGTTGCAAGACACTAATGCGTAATACTCCACCAACTTCTAAGTACACAAAGAATAAGTAAAATGGAGACAATATAAATAAGCGTGACAAACAAACGTAGGGAAGAGGTGAAACCGCATGGAATTGTCTTTAGGACAAACACATTTCTATATCTCTATTACTTTCTCGTCATTTTCTACCATTAGCTCAAATTGCCCATTGCAATTCACCCCACATCGAGACTGAACGTACTCGGTAATACCTTTTGTTAGGTACCCCATATAGTAAAATTCCTTGCTTGACCTCTGTCCTGGCCTACAAGGTCGCCGGAAGGTCAGAGGTAAAAAATAATGATCCCATCCAATTCTGGGTGAAATTTGCTTACGGAATGACACATCACATGCAATTATGTGATTTTTCACCTTTGACCTCGACTACAAGGTCAGAGGTCAAAAATATTTACAGAATTGAAATTTCCGTCCACAATGATATTGTTTTTGGTGAAAAAATTTGTGCAAAAATATTATTCACTAAGGACGGCTTCGAACCTACGTCATCTCGAGTTCAGTCAGCCCATGCTTACCACTAGACCAGCACGTCTTACGTTTAGAGTACAAGCAAATTGGATTACTTATTTACAGCTCTCACATTAATTTTCTTAATTATCCTCTCAAAGTCATTAAATTGACTTTGTACGCAAAAATGCGTTATACAAAAAAAATTCAGTTTTCCCTATACAATTTAATAAAGACATATGTCTAATAAGAAAGTTTAATTCCTACGTCGAAATTATCGAAAAAAAAGCATTCAAAAATCGATTTCTACTGGAAGGACTAAAAAATTTTGAAATTTCAAAACAACGCAGCGCATCTCACAGAATTCCCTAACTATTTTGTCTCTTGTCATTTTTCTTTAAACTGCATGGTTTGGGCGCTAGAGTTGTGGGACCTTTTGGGTGCTAGGTACGAAAGGAGTCTTCCGGCTACGCCGGGCCCCACCTGAGCATATTCATTTTGTCGTTCTGTGCGGGGCCCCGGCTTTCCGGCGTTGCTGGCACCGAAGAAAAACCCTAGAATGGTTAGATGCCATGGCCTCATTTGCGCCCGCCACACCCCCTGAAAGATGCAAAAAATGCGAAAAACCGCCTGTTTTCATGTGCTAAAACAGTCGTCAAAAATCCAATTTTGCTCTAAATTTGATAATTTTAGCATATTATTGGTCCTAGATAGTTGCTCTATCATATCCAATAGCAATCTCAACTTTTTTGAAATCTTCGAATTTTCAAGACATACCCCTGCTCAGGAATCATTCGAAAATTTACGAAATTTCAAAAAAGTTGAGATTGCTATTGTGCGCTATTTTTGACCTTGTGACCTATATTTCTAGTGGGTGTGGTCATATTTCAAAAATCTGAAAATATATAATTTACTTTGTCATCTAAGGTTTTCAAAACCGGTCGTATCATATAAGTTTGGTGAAAGGGGAACGCTTGGTTCGGCTGCAACATGCAAAAGTATACCAAAAAAATAGAAGTTGTCAATATATCCATACTGAAATAATTAGTAAATGGTAACCATGCATCTAACATAATAATTTGCAAGAGTCCGTCACATTTCAGTTAATTGACCAACAAAACCGGTGAGAATGATTTCGACCTTTAATAGCTTTGGCGCTACTTGAAATTTTCATAACTAATAACAATATGGTCGTTATTGTTGGATTAAAATTGCAATACTGAATTATCAAGAACCGCTGAGATATGTGCATCTAAAAAATAGTAATTAAAAAATCCTTTGCAAAAGCGCATGCATGTTTGTGAGTGAATTATTTTTTAAAATTTGTAAATTGTGTGGTCTTGTCGCAAAAACGTGACATGCAACTTGTAAAATAAAAATGTAAGTATGGTAAGGTTGTAGAAAAGTGCATAGAAGAATGGGGTGATAAGGTGAGTCTTCGATAAGTAATATTATCAATTCAGTATTTGACAAAATGCAAATAATGATATCTCACCAGGTCTTGTCACTTGTACTTAATTATGCAAGGTTTCATACCAAAGAGAGTTGTTAGTGCTTAATTATATAGAAATGATGATATTATTTAAATTTGTGACATACTAGGCTTTAAATACTTCAATCAATTATGGACCATAATTTATGGTGCATATGAATTCAAGACAAGGAAAGAAGGGACCAATCAAGAAAGATATTTTTAGTCTGTAGTATAGCAATTGGCACAAAATGATACTTATCTAGAATTAGAAGCGTGTTTATAAGTATTAATTAATATTATTATGATACCTAGTTGCGTTGTTAGAATTTAAAATAAATCTTTCCGGAAATGTATTTATGGGTGAAAAGTTTTCTAGAGGTTATAAATTAATGTCATGATTCAGTGTTGTATTTTTTAGAAACAAAACTGCAAAATATTTCTACACAATTTGTCACACCAAGTTTCAACTTTAGTATAATTTTCAAGGTTAATTATCTACTGGAATCCAAACGGAGTAAAATTTGAAACCTATCAGATAAGCCTTAACTTGTCATAATTTCCTAATAATATATACGCCTTAAAAATTTGGTCAATTATTTTATACAGCGGGTCGCACGGTGCCCCATCATTTTAAATTTAAATGGCACGTTAACTAAATCATATGATCGAGTTGATAATTGTGAGGTGATTGTATTTTCATTCTTATTTCTTTTCTACTTTCAAATTTTGGCTAAATTATAGTTAAAAATAAATTTTGGAATATAATTATCTTCTTCGTTTACAGGGTGGAGGGGCAAGTTAATTAATTAATAATTAATCAAAGACTAGAAAGTAGAGGTTTTTTTGACACAGACTCAATTTTGCAAAATATGTAAAATTTAGCACATGTTAATAAATTTAGGTGTTATTTTACAGGTAACATATGTGCGGACAGTTATTAATAATAGTATTAATAATTGTTAACAATTATAAGCTATAAGTGGGAGTTGGAACCGTGTAAAATCTAAAGTTGCAAAAAAAATCTGCAAGCCAGACACTAATTGTGTAACGATTTTGCACATTAATAACTCCGGCGTATTTATTTATTTTACAGGTGACGTGACATCGAAGACTACCAATGACTCGATTGCATTCGTACGTGCCCCGTGAAACGTACCAGAAAATTGACCGTTTATCCGAACAATATCGGCCAGACCGACTTTGCGGGCATAAGAATCCGAAAGACATTTACATCATTTTTGGAGCAGGTAAGCCATTATTAAAATGTTGATCTCATTTCTGTATAATGATGATAAGCAGGCATATTTATTTATTCAGGTCGTGGAGGTAAAACGTTGGGCGAAGTCGAATGGGACGAGCGGATCGTAATGACCACCTATGATTGGACCAAGATAAGCAAATCGTTGGGGATTGAATGGGGCAAGATTAAGTTGAGGGATCATATTTGGTTTCAGGTGGGTGGAATAGATTGTGCAGATTTGAATACCATTTTTGAAGTAAAATTCTCAAGAAGTTTTTAAAACTTTTTGTATGCAGTTTTTATAAATGTAGAAGGCGCAAACGGAGGTCATGCTGAGTGCGACTGTAACCTCGTTGGATGTTGAATGACAAAAAAATATGGTCGACGAGAAGGACGAGCTGCTCGAATATCACGAGATTTTAATGGCGACAGGAATCAAGTGAGTTAAAATTTGCAAAATTAATGACAGTTATTTCAAAATTTTTGTCAGTATAAATAAAGTCGGGTACAGTTTTGCTAGAGTAAATTTGTATTAAAGTTAAAATATTGCGAAATGAAATCTGTTTTTGCAATTTATGCCAAACGGTGTCAGAATTAAGTATGCGCGAAATTTTAAATACATTCTACAATTGTAACTAAATTTCTCTTCTTTAGACCCCGCATCACTCTCCCAACCACAAACGGAATAATTGGCACCGACCTTGGCAACAAGTACTCGCGCCGTGTCAAGGAAAATTCCCCTCGAAAGACGGTCGTGGGATTTGTTTACATCATCCATCGGAGTAAACATCTGTTCGGAATCACTCGTGACGACTCGGTCGGGCGCGTACTTCAGCAACACGTTTTGAAGAAATGTGGTCGAAATGTGCGTTTCATTGGGTCCGACAGGATGAAGATTTATAGGAATGCCAAGAAAGAAGTTTGGAAGGTCAAAACGTTATAGAAGAGGCAAGTAAACTGTGAATTGGTCATCTTTGGGATGGGTGTGACCTCAAATACGGAATTGATTGCGAACATCAAACCCCAATTGGATGAAGATGACGGATTTAAATTGCCAGATAAGCCTGCCATGAGAATGAAGGATGGATACATTCAGGTCAAGGATGCGAGCTAAATAATAATATATAACCGACGTTAATGGAATTTAATTTGCGATTTTATTTCTAAATTTCTACTAGTTTATGGAGACCGCTCCCCCCAACCACTACACCTCCGGGGGCATTGTAACTTTCCCAGTATCCTCAACGACCATACTGCTTATCCAAGGGTCAAGAGAAGGAAGAAGGATTTCAAAAAAACGGCGTGAAAAGATATCGAATACATTCACAAACCACTCATTTCCCTGTATGAGAGACTGTTTTACAGAAAATTTCATGGACCGATCAAGCTCGAAATTATGATAAGATGACAAGCGATAGAGGAAAAATTCAGAAAAATTATATATTATCCTTTTAATTTAAACACTTTAAAAACCGGTTGGAAAATAAGATTGGATTTTAAATTTGTATTTCTTTTGCAGATCCAGTCCGCTTAAAATTTCAACGTTTTGCGATCTAGGAAGATACGGGATTCCGTTTAGCGAGAAATTGGTTTGAAATTAATTTGCGTTTGTACGATACCGAAGAATTCCGATGAAGAGAGCAATCTTTTACTAGTTTTAATAATAGTGTGATTGTAAACATAGATAATTGTATGAGGGAGAAAATTTATGAATTGTTGTGATATTGTGAAATACTCGGTGTGTGATGTGGTCACAAAAAATGTAATGCAAGTTGTAAAATGATAAAGTGTAGTAAGATTTTTAGCAAGGTATTTATCTGGTTAGGGAAACAGGGTGGTGAGATGATTCTTCGATAAGTGATATTATCAGTTCAGTATTTAACAAAATGCAAATAATGCCCATTTATGTACTTAAGTTAATTATGCAAGTTTAAAGTGAATAAGTACAGCATGAAAAGTTGTTAGTGCATAATTTTCTAGCAATATTAGTGATAAATTTGTGATGTATTGAACTTTAAATATTTAACTATGCCTTATTTGTGAAATTGAGAGAACTGTGTCGTAATTTTTTAATAATAAATACTGTCTCGAAGTTTTTTGTATAATGGATCTCATTTTACCCCATCCTTTTAAATTTAAATGGCACATTAACTAAATCATATGATCGAGTTGATTGTGGGATCGCGGAACCTCACCCACTGGAAACTATCCATGCAAACTACCCGTCTGCAAGAAGTCGCCGTATGTTGACTGTGCCGTGTTACAGTTCGAGTTTGATGAAGGGAATGATAACTACCTCTCACACTAATCTGCTTGTCCTCAATTCCAAACTTTATAATAAACCCTCTTATACACAAATCAGGACTTTATCTTCAGCACAATTTATTGACGAACATTCACACTCTCAATCAATTCACAAAACAATTCTAATTTTCACAAAAATCCCTACCAATTCAAACAATTAATTCCCGGAGCACCCTTTCCGTGCCTCCGGACTCCTTCCCCTCTCCCCGCAGAGTGAGCCATGCCGTCTCCTCTGTCTCTTACCCGACGCAGTACCTCTCATAACTCGCTCCTAACAGTTTGGGGCTACTTGCTGCTATACTTCCTTATGCTATCTTAATTACCTAAATTACTTTATAATTCAAAAACTGGTCGCGAATACAAAGTTTTTATATTTTTATATTAACTACGACATTATTATCTATTAAATATGTTAATTTCAAATTATGTTTCCGATACATAAATTTTCCGATTTATACAAATTTAACAAGGGAAAATTACTAATTACTGAATTACTAAAAATCTAGACGAGAAGACAAACGTTTTATAATTTTCAATAATACCTACAATCATAAGCCTTATATTAAGCCAAAAATTTATATATGTTTCCGAACTAGTTAATAAGATAGAACAATAATACCAAATTGCGCAAATAACATCATTTCACATACAAACACTTATAACTACGTACAATCTTGCAGGCAATAATCTTACTGGATTTGACATTCTCCCACCTCTTTTTCACATTCTAATGGGGAAAAGAACTCACACATCCTAGTCAATTAACTAATCACCTAATTCACAATGCTACCTCTAAAATTTTCATAAACACTAAACATTCATATTCCTCATCGATAACTTGAAATACACAAACTTTTCTACTCCTTTCTTAACTAAATTTTTGCTATAAATTTCCTATACTAAACTCGCAAACATAATTAACATTAAATCATTCATTTAAATTATCAAAACATAAATATGGAGTTTAATGGACTATTATTTTGCAAATTTGAAATTATTTGTACTTCTTAGCCCGATTATTTGCAACAAAATAATAGTCCATTAAACTCCATATTTATGTCCAAAAAGTTTTCAAAGGGAGATTCGAACCTGAGTCCCAATGGCAAAAAGACAAGCGCATAGCAGCATGGGCGAACGCGACAAATATTACTTACTGATATTCTTTATCTTCTTTTTCATCCTGTCCGCAGAGTTGGAATGCTGATCACCGGGACAAACGGTTCTTGCACCAGCTTTAAGCTAGTCGTAAGTAATGAAACTTGGAAATAAATTACTTTTGTAAAAAAACAGTCTTCGGTGACGTGTCATAATTCACGAACAAAAACATAAAACAAGATGTTTTCTCTTTAATGATTTGACAGAGATCGGCCTTCATTGATATAATTTAAGATATACAGAAATTGTAGAATTCGCATAACGGAAAGGTTGCTTCACCGTGGGCCCATCATATTTTACTTGAATATATACATTGTTTGGGGTAGGGGTAAAATCACAAATACGACGAGTTGAAAATCTTACTGCGAAAGATGCACTTATTGAAGTCAAATTGGCGAGTTTTATGAGATAACTTGCTTAAACTGATGAAAATTTAGTTTCAGGTCCATTCAAAAGTTGTATAGTTTCAATGTAAATTATAGGCCTAACTGTAATATATCAGTGCATTTATTTATTATAATATTATCCACGTACATAAATATCTAAATTGTTCGAATGGGAAAATTTCCATTTATGAATACAAATGTAAATATTTTCTAATACTTATGCATAAATAAACATTAATTAGAGGGCGTCAAGTCATGATTAAATTTAAGTTCATTTCAAGGTTAAGTTTCAAATAAGTTCTCTACGGCCAAAGTGAATCATTTTGTAAAATATGATGGGCCCACGGTGAAGCAACCTTTCAGTTATGCGAATTCTACAATTTCTGTATATCTTAAATTATATCAATGAAGGCCGATCTCTGTCAAATCATTAAAGAGAAAACATCTTGTTTTATGTTTTTGTTCGTGAATTATGACACGTCACCGAAGACTGTTTTTTTTCAAAAGTAATTTATTTTATAGTTTGTAGATGTAAATATATATCTACTCTATCAAGTAATCTGAATCGAGATTATTTATTAATAAATATGTTGTCAATTCAGTCAAATATCTTTTTTGAGCAGCTAATATATCATTTGCATCTATAATATTGCATAAAAAATTTATGTACATAAGCTTTGCATAAAAAATGTAGATCGGCAAAGCTCGGAAGGGGTAGCATTATTTGCGTGATGGTTGTACATATGCAACTGCAATTATATACTCTGCAGATAGAATTTTATACTCAGTTAAATGAAACATCTTATATATTTACATGTACGAATGTATGCATATGTGCGAAAACATACATATGCATATTTGAGGATCAGTCTCGCAACAGCGTTTCACACAGCTGGGAGTCTAAATCTTAAGGGGCATCTCTGCCCGTGACATGAAAATGCGTGAAAATTTCACATTTTTAATAATATCTCGGTGTTGCGAATTATTAAAAAAAATATGCTTCTGTAGCTTTGTAAAGCAACTCGTTGGGAATTTTTTAGAGGTATTCACTCCAGCTTTTAACAATTTTTGGACAAGTTCTATTTGGTTAAAAATGCGTGTAAAAGTATAGAACGGTTCCGGCTTAGTTTATCCATCGAGTAGCTCAATGCCTTTCATTTAACCTCTTTACTACCAGTTACACACATTTGTGTATTTTCAAATTTTGTCAGTGACAACTAAAAATTGGAAAACATTGGAAAAATAGAAAAAGTGCATTCAAAAAAGTAGAAAACTCCATTAGAAACAATTTACTTCTTCTGACTTTTTTCTGCCAAAATTATGAACTCTTCCCATATCAACCCCATGATAAAAGGTGGAATTTTCTAGTTTTTCGAATTTTCAGCAGTTTTAGAGATTTTGACAGACTCGAAATTGGTAACCAACGGTCGGTGTGCATAAACTAAATTGAGAACTAGGAGGTTAAATAATATATTTCTGCTGATTTTTATTTAATTTTATTTATTGAGAATATTTAATTTTATTTTTTGAGGATATTTTTTACGAGGATATTTTATTTTATTTTCGAAGGATATTTTATGCATTCTTTGTGAGGATATATATTTTGTGAGGACTTTGGTTCTAATAAAACCTCCACTACTTGAAAAACGTATTGCAAATCATTGTATTTAATATTGCATTTATTTTGGGGGGTGGGTGGGGATTACGGCCCTGTTTCAATGATTTAGTAAGAGACGCTTTTGTCGTAGACGCTTCTGTCGGGGAGCCAAGATTTGTACTGCACGGTCCACGTGAACAATATGATCGTAAAAGGTTTAGCTTCTAGGAACATAAGTGCAGCACGTCAAGAATTGATAAAGATCTTCCGACACCTGAACGCTACTCGTCCGCCATGTATACAACAAGTCCGCCAACTGGGACAATCCCAAAAATTCAACTTCAAATTCTCAAATTCAGGTGACAAATTCTTCCTTCTTAAGCTTTCTCCCTACCTTAGGAAGACTGGTCTTTCGTTTGAAGATATTCTTCCCCCCAAACTACAACAAGCTAAGAATATGCTACTCAGAAGGAAAAGAGAAATGCTTGACAATGGCGTTGCAAAATCGGTCCATCTCCATAGAAGATTTTTACCACTACGACAGACAAACTGGTATTATGGACAAAAAACCAACCACGAATACAAAAACACAACCCGCTCAAAAACCTGAAACGGCGAACCAACAATGAGACATGGTGTACATCAGAATGGCGGTCACGAGGGAAGAAAAAATCAGCGGGAGCATCAATCCACTCAACGTCCGGATGAACAAATCTCCCGGGAGACGGAGGTACATGGCGTCACGCTGAAGCCATGGGTCAGATCGGCCCGACCTTAGCCCAATTCCTAACCCTAGCCAGATCGCCACACCGATCACGGTCAACAAGGTTAAGAGGTTACCTGGACGTTAGATAAGTATTTGGCGTAAGGTCTCCATTCCAGTAATTAATTAACTGGTTCGTTAGTGCGGATGGAACTAAACTGAGAATTGGGTTCAGAGTCGTATTACTTTTTATGATATGCTCAAACTTTCAACCTCATTTCCACTAATCAGTGATGAATTGTGGATTATTCTCTTATCAATATTTATAAATATTCGTTGAATTTATGGTTCCAGGCAGAATGTAGTAATGCCATAATTGATATGCCGGTGCCGAATTACAGGTAATATCAGTTCCAGAAAACCTGATAAAGTGAGGAGTTCCACGGTAGGAGTTTGCTGACTATGTTGATTACAGTATGATTTTAGCCGAGGTATTTACGACACATATCCTGCTATGATTGCTGAAAAATTTAAGTCCTGGGTATTTATTTAATTAGTAAAACCCCAAACACACCACTGCTCTAGTAACTGGTGATAACATGCATACGTAAGTATTATATCTACAGGGTGTTCCACAAAGACGTAAGGCTGAAATCTTATCTGGAGAAAATTTTAATTATTAACTAAAAATTGGATTGGTAACCGAGCTATCAACTGTTGTCTATCCTTGAATGAAATTGATGCAAATGGTTGACAATGTAATTTGTATTTACTAATTACAATTTTTGCGAAATAAACTCCACATATTTTTTAAACACTTTGTACATTTTGGTTGTTATCAAATCAACAAGAGATTTAAAAACGCTTGGCAAATTTAGCTTGGTATTTAATTAAACGAACTTAATTTTTGTTCCATACTAATTTCTATTTTATGCAGACAACCCTACTACGTCGCATATTTATGCAGTACCCTCATTTAGTGTATTAATCACATCAATTTTTATACCACGTATACATATTGTAAAACCCTACACATGCATTTCCCCAAGTAGATAAGGATAAGATAAGAGGAATTACGATAATTCAACGATTTCGCATATTCCCAACTCCATGAATCATGACGTGGTCTGATGGATGACTTCATTTTTTTAAATTGAGATTGCACATACATACGTACCAACTTTGTACGTATCATAATAATTATGTTTTCAAACCGGACTTAACTATTCCCTGATAAATAAGTGCAATATTCATTGAAATAATAACAAGTCTTTTTTTAATTTAGAAATTCGCGTCTGGCTGATCTCATTTACTCACGACAACATGGCTTGTGATGATTCTTCGACAAATTTCGACATTTGTCAACATAATTATTTTAGTTTGCTAAATTAGTTCGAAAATTTAAAACCAAGTCCCAATGAGTATATTTACTCAAGGCCATTGTGGATTTTGAGAACTTTATCATTGTTCGACAAATTTCGACATTTGGCGACATTCTAATTTGGTTCGAAACTTTAGAACCTAATCCGAAACAATTTTCATAAGTTAATAAGAAACTAAAATAATAAATTCGTTTTCAGGAATCACCCAGACACTTTTTTAAATTTTGCAATCGAATTTGTAATGTTAGATTATTCATGTCAACAAATGTCGAAATTTATAGAAAAATTGCTAAATCTTCAAAATTCAAATAGGTATGAGTGAGTGAGGCTCCCCAGACAATTTATAAATTAGACGAAATTTCACCTATAAGTCATGATCACATCCACAGAACCTTTGGTGCTAACCAGGATTTTGGAAAAGTAGGGGGGGCTAAAGTAGCATTGAATCATAGGGCTTGTTACAAGTATGGATTACAATTAAAAAAAAATAAAAAAATCATTACCCGGGTAGTAATCACTACCCGCCAGGCAACGGGTACCCACAAAACTGGGCGGGTAGCGGATACCGAGTACCGGACATGCTATCCGCGGCAATCCTAAATCCTATGGGTTCGAATGGTCGCCCAAACTTTTTTAGGGTTCCGATTTCGATTACATGACTATGTATACGCGTCCAAAGATATTATTTCTGATAGTAGTTGAAGCGTAGAAATATTGGTTTTTGGCATTCAAAACTTGAGAATGAAACATCCCGTACACGTAGATATTATTTAAATTAAAGTGCATGTCTGGGGCGGAAGACAAGTTAGTCAATTATACTGAAGAAGGAATATCCACTCTTGCGGGTGACAGCACAAAAAACAAAAACACAATCTCAATTTTGAATTAATTGTTTAAGCAGCAAGCCGGAAACTGAAACCACCCTATGCTATGCCTTGATTCCATTCGTTTTCAAAAATCGTAACCATGTTGATGTTATGAAATACATGTATACAAATTGTTTTATTGTAGACCATTATTGTTATTACTGACATTTCTTGGCTCATAATTTAAATTGTTGGAACCATTGGAGTTGTTTCTGTTGAAAGAGTTGGAAATAATGTTATAAATGAAATTGAAGTAATAGTTGTTTCCAATTGAGTTGCCTTTTGTTGTGCGATCGAGTGGGGATGACGTGGTCTCACTTGGACCAGTAGGCTCGGTGTGCCCCGTGGGAGTTACTGTCTGGGAGGTTTCTATATCTGTTTGTTTTGATGGTGAAGTTGTTGTGGAAGATGTTGAGTTTGTCGAGGTGGGCATGGTAGTTGTCGTGGTTGGTCTTGTAGTTGTCGTGGTGGGCCTGGTAGTTGTCGTGGTTGGTCTTGTAGTTGTCGTGGTTGGTCTTGTAGTTGTCGTGGTGGGCCTGGTAGTTGTCGTGGTTGGTCTTGTAGTTGTCGTGGTTGGTCTTGTAGTTGTCGTGGTGGGCCTGGTAGTTGTCGTGGTTGGTCTTGTAGTTGTCGTGGTTGGTCTTGTAGTTGTCGTGGTGAGCCTGGTAGTTGTCGTGGTTGGTCTTGTAGTTGTCGTGGTTGGTCTTGTAGTTGTCGTGGTTGGTCTTGTAGTTGTCGTGGTTGGTCTTGTAGTTGTCGTGGTGGGCCTGGTAGTTGTCGTGGTTGGTCTTGTAGTTGTCGTGGTTGGTCTTGTAGTGGTCGTGGTTGGTCTTGTAGTGGTCGTGGTGAGCCTGGTAGTTGTCGTGGTTGGTCTTGTAGTTTTCGTGGTTGGTCTTGTAGTTGTCGTGGTGGGCCTGGTAGTTGTCGTGGTTGGTCTTGTAGTTGTCGTGGTTGGTCTTGTAGTTGTCGTGGTTGGTCTTGTAGTGGTCGTGGTTGGTCTTGTAGTGGTCGTGGTTGGTCTTGTAGTGGTCGTGGTGAGCCTGGTAGTTGTCGTGGTTGGTCTTGTAGTTGTCGTGGTGGGCTTGGTAGTTGTCGTGGTGGGCCTGGTGGTTGTCGTGGTTGGTCTTGTAGTTGTCGTGGTGCGCCTGGTAGTTGTCGTGGTTGGTCTTGTAGTTGTCGTGGGCCTGGTGGTTGTTCTAGTAGTGGTTGGCCTAGCGGTGGTAGTAGTTACTGGAGGTCTTGGTTTCGTGCCTATAAGATGAAGATAAGGAAAAGCCCATTCGGATTATAATTTACCCAGTTAATGAACTTCCATTCATTAAAATTTATCTCGACTTGAAGAATGCGTTACCTAGCCATGAACCTCTGTAGTCGTTTTTTACTTTGCCGTCTTCGAATAGTCTTATTTTCTCAAGGTAGTTGACCCTCCATGTGGAGCTCTTTTTAGGAACGCCATCTCCAAAAACGGGAAACGTAGATATATAAGCTGTCGTACCCCATCGTGCTTCACACCAAAATTTAGTCGTCGCTCCTGCATTGAAATCCCACCGCAAATAATGCGTCCCAGAGTTACCGTTGTAGCACCCACTCCTGTCTCTATCGTGACTGCCTGACCAGCAATTTACGCACATTTGGGGTACGTTGGGATGAAGCGAGGTCGACCAGGTAGTATCAATCCGCACCTCCATATACGATCTAAGGATTCCAATCTCATCAGGGGTTAGACTAAAGGAGAAAAAGTAAATAAGTCAAAAATTTTGCAAATTTTGTGAATTTTTTAATCCTAGTTTTTATTTCTGTGGTGTGGCAGGTTAAGTAATCGGCTAATAACTACCTTGTTATGTTATCAGATCCAATGGCAAGTTGGACCCGTGTAACGCCACAAAGCAGCCACAACGTCAAAGCAATATTTCCTAAAAGGTGGAAAATAAACGTATATTTTAGGAAATTTAAGCTTGGGCGAAAATTTAAACTTAATTTAAATTTTGTACCTAGTTGCATGATGTAGTCGGGAAAACGGTAATATATTTAAGCTGAGTTGGTTGTCTGTAAAATGACTGTTTTCTGGTCCAGATTTGTCGTCCTTTTATACGGAGAAAGCTATCCATGGATTTCCCAATGCCATAAGCTTCTGCTGCTTGGGTTTTGATTGATGGCTCAGTTCCACTTAATATTAATCCATGATGGTAAATTCTACCTAAATTTAGGATTAATTTCAAAGTGAAATTTTCGTCGAAAATTAAAACAAGTTGATAATCATTTTAAATGATTTGTAACGCTAATTTGTTTATATATGTAAAACGTACTGTGTAGACTTCATATAGCCCGAGTCAGGCTTAGTATGTCATAATATTATTGCATAGCACCACCACCATGCAAATTTAGCACAGTTTCATTGTAATAAATGAGCATTTGTTAGCTGGGTTCGCTGAGTTGGTTTTAAAATGTTCGAAAGGACTTAAAATCCAAAATCTCAAAATCGGTGTGTTTTGCGTAATTCATGCAGTTTTATTCTCATTTTTGCATTAATTTTCCCCGTAATGATTTCTGTCCCGGTTTGTGTGTGAGAGACCACCTATGGTGACGTGGAGGTGACATTGGCAGAAAATCACAGTAAAGAATGAGAATAAATTATTATGTGTGGATTTCTTGTCAGGACCCGAGCCAGTGCGGATCACTGGAGTTAGTGTCCAATATTCGAGAGTTAATTGTGTTGAATAAATTGGTGTTACTTGATCAGAGATCACTAGTTGTCGCACATATTATTGGCACTGCTACCTGGCAAGGTAGAAGTCACCCTTGGACCTTGCAATACCCACCAAACCAGACTAAGCTCACTCACGGTGTGGGGAGTGGTTATTCAAAAGTGTGGTTGACCATATAGGGCCCGATGATTTTTTTAGAATTTCAGTTCATATACTTTCACTAGATACTATTAATAACCTGTATGCCAAATTTTAGCTTGATCGAACGATGTCCAAAATCGGTATGGGTCACCCCATAAGGTCCGTTCAGATTAATTTGTTTTCCAATTTTACTTCATATTTATTCATTACGACCAATTAGCAACCTATTTACCAAATTTCAGCTCTTTATGACTATTTTGAAATTTTAATGTATTTGACCCCAACAACCTACCGGCCAAACAGTGGACCGATTTTCGCTCATCTTCGAACCTGATTCCTAACTTTGTCCAATATACATGTCGTAAAAATTTCAAGTCGATCGGTCAATGCGTTCTAAAGTCATCGCCCGAACACAGACAGACAGATTCAGATATGACTGTTCCATAAGCCTTGACTGGAACTAAAAAGCTGATGAGCCTCTCCACTTGAAACTGGGTTAATCTCGATGTGGGATTTGGCAAGATCATATTGCGGATTTTCTAATCTAACAAATGTAGATAAGGGATCAGTTCAGGGAAAATAACCCAATATTAAAATTAGAGTATTTGTTCATATACGCGTTTCCAGGATTGTGCCGTGTACAATTAAGTAATATTGTGATTATGTAACTATTTTAATCTGGTAATTAGTGGTAAGGTGAATTGGAACTTGTCATCATCGATCAGTTATGGCAAATCCATATATCACTGGGATAATTTACTGGAGTGCGTTGACGTATTCGTTGTATTGAAATTATCTATGTACGTATTTATCTAATCAACGCTTAGGCAAAAAACTCCAGGGTTTTACCTTTCTTTGTCAGTACGCAAAATAATCCCGCAAAATAATAATAATATTTTTTGTTACACAATTATTATTCATTAATGGAGCATATAGTAATTTGTGAGTGACTTTATTTTGGATAAATTTGGCAATTGCTAAGGTTATTTATGGTATGCTATAAATAAATGAATGCACATGAGAAATAAACAAAGTCCTAAATAAATCAAACCATTACAACATAAACGTGAACTCAACTATGTAGTACCAATTTAATTACTAACACAAACGCACGAAAAATTACACTGCAAATAAACTGGTGTCAATTCCGCGCGGTGTAGTCACATATAGACACCACGCGGTGTTAATACGGGCAATTAACACCGCGTGGTGTCTATATGTGACTACACCGCGCGGAATTGACACCAGTTTATTTGCAGTGTATATAACCACATTAATATATTACATAGAACTTTGCACATTATACAGAATTGTATTAAATTGTATAAAATATTATATAGAATTTTATGTTTATTAAATTTTCAAACAGTTTATGCGATTAATATTTTTGACATGCATATATACATGCATATACATATGACATGCATATTTTTTGGCATTTTTGACATTTTTGACAAAAAAAAACACTGTACAACTGTACTGTTCTGTACAACTTACTGCAGTACCGTAACAACCGTGGTATATAGTGGTATGGAATACCAGGCCCGGGGCCCGCAGGGGCCCGGGCCGGATCGAGAGCTATACACTAGATATAATTGACCTGACCACGGTAGAATTTTAAATTCTTCAAATAAGTTTAAAGACATTTTAAAAGTTTGTTAAAAATAATCTTTATAATTTTTATAATACGACTATAGTAGAGTTAAAAAACTAATTTTCATAATTTAGTGTATGTGTTGTATTTTTTAGATTTTTCTGTGTTTTAGGTCTACGTATAAATGTGTACTTACTTTCTTGATTACCGTCGAGATCAAACATGTGTGTACTTTTTATTATATATAACATACAAATTTAGAGTCTGTGTTCTAACTCTTATAGGCCACAACAATTTCAAAATATGCATTTTTAAATGTTTTCATATTTCTAGATGACCAGACATTAATAAATATATCGTATATCATGTATTTGGAAAATATTTGCTTCTTCAATATATTTTTTCACAAAGTGAAATATTTTGTGAATGTGAATTTAAACGAAATGTTATACAATTTTTTTGTTGAAAAATTTGCCATGAAAAATCCAGGGAATTTAATTGAAAATGCTAATTGTGCGAAAATTTGTATTTTAGTTTTTCGTAGATATAGCCGTAGTTATTTTAGGACTTTTTCTAAAATATTAAATTCTTATATCAGCAATTTTCTTAAAAATATATCCGGATTCTATTGATGTATTACGTATTTTTATTTTTGGAATCCTATAATATAGAATTCTCTGTCTTAGCCACAAATCAGTGTATCTGGGTACCCCTAGCATTTTACGCGAACTCATTATTTAAACAATGGTGGCATTTATTTCCCATCTATCCATACTTGGTAATCGCAAAGAATAACAAGTAATCCCAATTGTTTGCGATGAGTGATAAAACACCCGGTGCTTATAAGCACCTATGCGGCAACGATAAGCGTAAGAAGAAGTTAAAAGAAGATGAAGATTCAGCGAAACTGGCGGAAAAGTCTGCAAAATTTTTCAAAAATTTCAAGGCAAGGGTCTTATTTCGTAACAAAATTATTCACGATCAGCTGTGATTATTAATTCACATGATTGATGCAAACTCATTTTATTTACATAGAATGCTGGTGACACAGGATTGGAAGCTGTAGATGAACGCGGAATTCGAACGGATGATAATTCCCAATTTCAACGACAAAAATTGGATCTAAGTAATCCTTAACACAATATATTTACATATGTAATCCATAAATTAATGAGTGCATCTATGTAGCTCGAAAAATAATGCTTCATAATAATTGTGTTATGTAGATCAACCTAGCACGAGCACATTCGTCCCAATTTATAATACTTCCGATGGTTACGAAATCCGTGCGGAAAATCACGAAGTAGTTAACTTCACACAACATTCCGAAGGTATAATTATATAATTTGTGCCTCAGGATCGACTTGCATTATTTGAAAATAATTTTGTTTCTATTATTTTTAAAGTGAGCACTCAATTGGAATCTGGCGGCCCAACAATCCCGGAAAATGACTCCAATCAAGTCAACCCTAAAGCAGAGGACGGAAATTTCCACGCCGATGCACAAACAGCTGGTGGGAACTAATTAATTTTATTGTTTTTTTAGTCATTATTAAACATCTGCTGACCCTTAATTCCAAACCATTACTAATTTAGATCAGGATATAATTCTTGACGACCCAGCTTTATGGCCTACGCCAATAAATTCTGCTTCTCGCCGGTATTTGGTTACGAAAGGACCAGTCGCCGTAATAAATGATTTATATCCGAAGAGGGATGGTGAATCTTTCGATGCCCGTTATTTTCAAATGAGTCATAACGGAATTTACCACCGAAGAGAATGGTTACTCTACAGTCGAAGCCAAAATAGTCTGTTTTGCTTCCCATGTTCTATTTTTGGCACACAAACAATGCACCGGTCCCCTTTTCAATTATCAGCGTCAAACAAGACCGGATACACAGACTTTCACCACAAGGGAAGATCCATCCTCAGCCATGAAGGGACACAGCAACACTTCTCGTCAACAGCGTCATGGAAATCGTTCCAGAAGAATATGAAGAGTTCGACATTGATAGATGCTATGACCGAAAAGCAATTGAAATCTGAAATCTCGTTTTGGAAGCAAGTACTTAAAGGAATACTGAGCGCAATTATTTTCCTGGCGAAAAATAATCTGGCCTTGCGAGGATCGTCAACGAATGTTTTGGACCATAATTGTGGCAATTTCTTATCATTGATTAAACTGCTTGGTAATTACTACCCTCCACTCACGATGCATTTGGAAAGGCTTAAGAAGAATAGCACTTCATACCTATCCCCAAAAATACAAAATGAGTTCATCACTCAATGCGGAAACTGGGTTCGCGAGACTATTCTGGAGGAAATTCGAAATGCTAAATATTTTTCGATTATCATCGACTCGACTCCTGATTCATCCCGACAAGAGCAAATTACCGAAGTAATTAGGATTGTGAAGTGTTCTAAAAAAGAATGCGTAGTCAAGGAGTACTTCATTGACTTCATCGCGTCGGAGGAAAAGACCGGAAATGGATTGTCAACCGTGGTAGTGCAAAAGCTGGAGAAAGATAAGCTCGACATCAAAAATTGCAGAGGACAAGGGTATGATAATGGAGCCAACATGGCGGGAGCATACAAAGGTGTTCAAAGTTGGATTTCAAAAATTTCTCCCAAGGCTCAATTTATTCCATGTGCAGCGCATTCGCTCAATTTGGTAGGAGTTAATGCGGTCGAACGTGTTCTTCAAGCAAAATTGTCACTTGGTCAAATTCAAACCATTTTCATATTTTTCCACGCCTCAACCCAACGCTGGAAGTTACTGAATACAAAATTGAATTGTAACCTCAAAGGACATAGCACAACCAGATGGTCATCCAGGGCTGAATCGGTCCAGGCCTTATCGACCCAGTATTGGAATGTCGTGGAAGCCCTTGTTGAGATAACTACAAGTGATACCTTTAACTCTGATTCTGTAGCCGGAGCAGATTCAATCCTTAACATCATGTTGACATTTAGATTTCTATTGTCACTTAAGATTTGGCATCAGATTTTGCACCATATTAATATTTGCAACCTCACTCTACAAAAAGGAACAAACAATTTGGATCTGGCCTCCAAGAAATTAGAAGCTCTTCTCTCTTGGCTGAAGGAATTTCGATTAAGTGGGTTTGAAGAATGCCTATCCGACTCATGCACACTCGCCAAACAATATGACATTGACACAACTACTGGATTTATGGATAAACGGAAAACCAGAGGAATTAAGCGAAAACGATTAGAAGAATTATCCGAGGATGCCGCCAAGGAACTTACCAACTTCGAAAGATTTAAATTAGAATTTTTTAACGAATTAATGGACAATTTAATCTCCGAGATTGGTTCCCGATTTGGTCAGTTGCGGTCTTGTAACCAAGACTTTGGATTCCTTTGGGGAGTTGGACTTGCAGCCGGCAGTAATGACAGCTTTAAACAACGTATAAACGACCTGTGTGAAAAATATGAAGGGGACTTCGACCAAATCAAATTTATCAATGAAATGAATTATGTGAAGCATCAGATATCTTCACTACTACCGAATGGAAGAGATATTTATGACACCTGCCCAGTTGAAGTACTTGAGATCATTTACGAACACGATTTACAATCATGCTTTCCGAATGTGGCCTGCGCCCTTCAAATTTTTCTCACGCTTCCGGTGACTGTTTCACATGGTGAGAGATCATTCTCCAAATTAAAAATTATTAAGAATTATCTCCGTTCATCTATGGGCCAAGAGAGGTTGTCAAGTTTATCTATTCTTTCAATTGAGCACACGATTACAGATACTATTTCCTTTGATGAAATGATATGGGTATTCGCAAATGCAAAATGTAGAAGGGTTCCGTTGGAATAATTTATAATATGTAAATAATGTTTCATTTTGACTGAGTAATTTATAAGAAACAGTGCACCTATTTTAGCATTCACCAAAACGTTTTGCATCCGGCTCACATGACTCTTTAAATAAAATCCTAATATATAAATAATTATATATTACTTTGTTCACCAAATTTTACAAAAATCTTAGTTGAAAAATATTCATACATACATGTGTTCAAGAATATAGTCAATAAAACCTCGAAACTAACTAAATAAAATTGCTAAATTCTTTTATTGAGAGTGGTCATTATTTCCTCGTATCATTATTATTACAAATCCTTACTTTGACCCTTAGATCCTGCATAGAAGTATTCTTTGCACCGTCACTTAACGTCGAGAGATTTTGTAGGCGTCATTAGATCTTGTCGTCGAAAATCGCGTTGTTAGGCCTAAGATATTTACGAACCTTGATCGCATGTTTTGTTCATAAAATATTTTACGAAGGGTGCTACAAAATAATAAATATCCTCATTGTGAATGATACCGAAATACAGTGCCAATTTCGTTCCCATATGTTAATCAGGCTTATTTAATTCGTCCATTAGGCCTAATTTCTACTCGTCATTTTAGCGCCATTTTAATTTTACTCAAACGATCAACTCAATTTATACATTTTCCGTGTCATTTTGCTTTCACGATTAAAATTAACCCCATGCCAACAGCAAAATGATTGCAATTTATAGTTGCGTTCATTTCATTTTGATTATTAATTATGCCCAGTCTTTGGGAAGTTTCAGTCTGAAACTTCCCATTTCCATGACCTGTATCTCAATGTTAGGACTCTAGTGATTTGCACTTATCTTCGCTCCACCCATGGTAAAAATTTCAAAGAAAATACTTAGCAGAATCAATAATTATAGCTGAATTTGTTTCGAGCGCGGGCCGAAAATTCGGTTTACCGCATTAAATCAACACCCTGTAGTATTCACCTAAAATTGCAGTATATATTAGTTTAAACAGCAACTATGCTATTTTTTCATAGCACTTTAGACTGCAAGGGCCCGGGGCCGGGACGGATACCAGGCCTACGAATTTTGCGGTACGGCTCTGTACATAAATATCCACCAGAAAACTTTGTGAATAGAAATTAATTTATAAAATGTATTCATGGACTATACAAATTTACATCGTGATTAAGAAATGTTTCCATCTGTGTGGTAAGTACTTCTTCCTGATGAGACATAATGGTATTGAATCCTACCTTCAAGAAAATATTGTACAAAAATATGTACATAACTTAACGTACTATTGTATCACGTGCAACTTTTCCTTTCGCGCCTTGTCTCATTCTGCCCCTTCAAAAATATATGTCATGCTTCCTTATGGAGAATTTCAAATTGAATCAACTCCGGCAGGTGCGACGAAAAAAAGTGCATTATTTTTTGTGCAATTTTTTGATTTCCCAAGTCAATAAGTGTGCAAATCATCCCATATGCCCCGGGTTTATAAACAAAAAAATTAGGGACTGATTACAATCAAAAACGTAAAATTTCATCCATAATTGCCGGAGTTGATTCAATTTGAAATTCTCCATAAGGAAGCATGACACATATTTTTGAAGGGGCAGAATGAGACGAGGCGCGAAACAGTCCTACAATTGCCCCTTAATTTTTTTTAAGATACGAGATTTTTATTCTTGTTTACTAACCTGATCGGCTGATAGAAATAAAATGTATGTATAAATATGAAACTAGGGATTTATGGATTTAATTGTAATATTATTGCGAGGTAAAATTGTAACGACTGATTAGTCCGTTTTATTTATTGTTTTTTGTTTACTTTTAACCAGCCTGTGGAAGTGGATGGTGCCCTCCCGCTACATTATGGCGCAAGAGCCTTTGTCTCCTTTGTCTGTCTTTGTTTGGGTAGATATTGCATCTTCTGCATAAGTTTTTCATGCAGAAGAAACTTGACTTGGTTATGTATCCCAATAAACGTTTACGAAATGTTATGTATGTATGTACTTTACTGGAGTGGGATATACCCAGCAGCGGAGACACCGAGGTAATCTATTACGAAATGTTACGTTTTTGAAAAATTTTGCAGGGATACATGACCTTTTAAAAGTATGTTGTGTATGTGTATAATATATTGTAATGAAAATGGGTATATGTATATGTACGCTACTAAGTTTTAACCTACATAATTTATTATTTAATGAATATCGTTAAAAATAGAAATAAGTATATTGCCAAATATTTACACTTAATCAAGACAACTGCTTACATCAACCAAAACATGATAAAATTAAAATGTATATACGTATGCTATACAAAAGGTTTTTTATTTTGATTTCAATTACCTTCACTTTCTTTGCAAGATGTATCATTAATTGCTTTACTTGCTAGTGCAACCCTGAGATATAATGTATATCGTCGTTCTAATTCTAAATAGTCCCATGTTATGTAATAGTTATGCATCTCAGTTAAGGTAGTAGGTGAGATGAGACGATCTCGTCATCTCAGTGAGATGAGATGAGACGAGATGACCAATAAATGAGATGCAAACTCATCTGAGACAGCTTAGATTTGGTAAAATATTTTCCCCTGCAATTCAAAATTGGATTCAATTTTCTATGTTTTGCACTCACCAAATTCTTGTTGGGATGATAAAAAGTGACTACCTTAGCGACTTGTGAGTGTGACTAAATTTTCATTTCCCAAATGAGCTGACATTTAAGATAAGTATGCTTTGTGGCATATCATGATGAGTCTCAAGCAACAATTCATTACACATTTAATTTAAAATTGAATTTGCAAAATCTTGGCTAGGTTCATTTCCAACCGAATGGAACTGTTACTCCAGTTTCACTAAATGCTAATAAGGGTTATAAACAATATGTAAACAAACCCAAGTTGAAGAAAGCATTATGTTTTTATTGATCAAGTACATACATACGAGGGTGTTTCAGTATTGTTTTAGAAAAATGGGTTTACGCTAAGTTACAGATCAAACTTTTTCCATAATAACAAACCTCAAACACATTTAGGAAGCTGTGATTTTTTTCAGCTTTCTATGTTAACAATAACGATTGCAATAGGCCATCAAAATTTTCCTCGAAAATATTCAAAAATTAATGATTTGGTTTCGTTGTCTTCCAAAAAATGTTTCCCCCGGATGACTGATTTTCATTTAAGATTTCATTTTAAGATTTGATGTTGCGAATCGACGTGCAAAAAATGCACTAACTCTTTTTTATGGCCTTAAGATTCTCCCTCCCCATAGCATGGAGAAACTCCAAACCTTCTGCACAGAGTAGACAATATAGTGTAGTATTTTTCGCAAAAACTTTTACAAGGATGGAACCTTTGGAAATTTAGAAAGTGAGGAGAATCATACCTTAGTCAGATTTATGTGTTTTTGGCCATTTCTTGTGGGTGGGGTGCAACAGATGAAGTTGCATGAATTTTTGTTTGGTTTCACGGTCACAATACAATACTCTGGTATTGTTTCCTCCTACTAAGGTATGAATTCGGGTCTAATTTTTATTTTAAATCTAAACATTTTCAATGCAAAGTTCAACTAGTTCCTGTTTCAAAGATGGTGAAAGTAATTTTGGTACTAAATGGGCGTATATCATTTTCATGCCCAGGTCATCAGTAAAGCTAAGTATGCTCGACAGTGAAAACGTCCAGTGAAATGGGTCTGGTGAAATTCCACGACATTTTAAGTTTTCTGGTATGCAGGTGGTGAGTGAAAAGGCCGTGAAATTTCACTGGCCATTTCACTGAGTGAAAAAACAGTTCTTTTCCACTCTCCGCTGCAGTGAAAATGTACCAGTTGTTGGTGGAAAAGTTGGGTGAAATAATTATAGATTTTGTAACTTTTCACCCCAAATTTTGACTTGCGCTTTATTCAAAGTGCTTCTTCAAATTTTGAGCTTAAGAATTATTAATATCATTTTAAGAAAATTACCCAGTGCTAATTAAAACAATAGAATGGGGAGAAAGCGTAAAATTAATACTACGGGGGTGTCAGGCTTAAGTGACTTACAGAAAAAGCAGTTAGCTGCTCTGGTTGAGCAAAACGAAGCGATTTGGAAAATTAATCACAAAGATTACCGGCGGTCGGACAAAAAATTAGTGATGTGGAAAAATATTGCACAGGAAATGAACTTAACAGGTACTCCATTCTATTAATTAAATTATTATGTCAACTATTGAACATGCCTTGCCATAATAGTACCGTAAAATATTTTTATTAATTAAATTTTTTCAGTTGCAGAGTGCAAACAGGGATGGAAATCTTTAACGGACGGGATGCGATATCACTCTCTAAAAAAGGCCAAAAAACTAAAATCTGGAGATCCAGCTAGTGTTGACGTTACAGATGACGAAGAAGAAGACAGACATGATGATGATTGGATTTTTTACGACTGCTTAAAATTTCTTTCTTCTAACAAACCGAAACGAAGGTATTCATTAATTTTCCGCTATGCAATTGTTTGTACCTACTTTCTGAGAGAAAAAAATAATGTAACTTATATTTTATAATTTGCAGCACATTATCATCCGATGATTTGCCTGTCGATGACGAATCCGTCGCCGGAAACGCCGCCGTCCGAAATAATTTTGATTCGCAAGCGAATGATCAACAAGACGAGGAAACAACCAGTATTTCCGATAATACCGAAAAGTCTGATCAGGGATCTAGTGGCCAATTATTGGTGGAAGAACAGTCAAGCTCATCAAGTCAGCGTAACAATTCGCCAAAAACTGTGGAAAATCGCCCAATCGCATCAAAGAAAAAATCGAACTATAATTATGTAATAATTTAAAATTATTGTTATTTCAATAATCCTATGTATTGTAGACTAATTTAATCTACATTATTTTCAGATGCTAGAGAAAAAAACTCCATCTGCTACCAATGCGGCTCAAGAAAAGCTGGTGACAGGAATTACTGAGTTGATCGCACTTCGAAAGCAGAAAGAGGAAGTCAAGAAGGATTTAAAGAATTTTGCAATGTTTGCGAATTTAGATGCCATGATGGGCAAGCTACCGGAAGAAGTTGTCGAAGACCTGAATATGCAATTTGTAACTTTGACTCATACGGCATTAAAAAATCAACGACAACTTTTAAATCAAATTCTTTAAGTGTCAATATGGTAAATTAACTTTCCCGTAAAAACTGAATACAGAATAAGTCTTGTTTAAATTTTGATTTTAAAGTATTTATTTATTGGACCAAGGCAATTTCCCAACCGAAGAGTTAACATAGTTTTTTATGCACTCTCGAATTTCTTTTGCATTTTGCGGGGGACGTCCATTTGTGGCGGAAATATTGCTAGATGAGAGAAATAGTGAATTGTCCGGAATAATTCTTCTCCAATCCCCTTCCACAATCGTTCCATCTTCCAAGTATGTGTCGGAGAATCCAGCAGGGCAATATGTTACGTGATCATTAATTAGAAAATTATGTAAAACACAACAAGTTAAAATAATTTTTTGGGCACGATCTGGTTTCATATGCATAGTTTTTTTCAGACAACCCCATCTTGCACACGTAATACCAAAGGAATTTTCAATGCAGCGTCGAGCTCGACTCAATCTGCAAATTCATAAATTTCTTTAAATAACAAATTTACTTATGACTCCCATATGATACTTATAATTACCGGTAATTAAATTCAGCCTCTTCATTCGTTAATGCCTCTTTATTCCTTGGTGCAAATGGCTTCAAAATATGAGGCTGCAAAGGGAAAGCGTCATCTGCGACGAAAAAGAATGGCAGAAGATCTCCCAAGACATGGGCACCACTTGGTAGATTTAAACTATCTCGTAGCAATTTCTTGCCAAAGTTGCTTTCAGCAAAAACAGTACTGTCTCCTTCACTCCCAAATGCCCCCGAGTCCACGAAAAGAAATCGGTAATTCGAATCACAGACTGCCATCAATACCAAGCTGTGAAATCCCTAAATTAACATAATCATGGAATAAGTGGTGATTAAATAGCATTAAGTAACAATAAAATCGACAAAATATGCTAATTATTTACTTTGTAATTGTAAAATACACTTCCACCTCCTTGACACTAAATTGCGCAATGTTTCTCATCTATTGCTCCTAAACAGTTGGGCAGATTCCATTTGGCATTAAAATCGTTTGCAATTTCTAGCCGCTCGTTTTTTGTTGGAATCTAAAGATAAGATAATACATATAAAAAATGACTAACAATACGCTGCTATAATACTTTTAAAACTTTTGGCAGTAATGCAGCAATAATTGCGTCACATGTATTTTCAATGATATGTCCAATTTGTTGCTTGCTTATTCTGTACACACTTGCGATATGCCGTTGCATTGATCCGGATGCCAAATATCTATCAAGAATAATAAAGTTTGTTTTGTAATAGAGACAAATATCAGCTTATATTTTTTAGTCTTCATACTTAAAATATACTTGCACTTACTCTAAAGAAACGCTTAACTTTTCTTTTGCTGAAATTGAATCTGGTCTCGCTCGAAATTTTGGGTTCAGGTCATTTTCAATCGCAGTCAGTATCTCATCAAAATTTTGTTGATTCATGTGGTAATTTTCTTTAAAAGCTGGAGGATGTTGAACAAGATCATCAAACTATAAACAAATTAATATTCATGATTTAAGCATCCATACAAACTAAACTTAATTGTACTATTATTCTTACGTCTTTAACAAATCTCCCTTTTGAATGTCGTAATTGAAGATAAGGGTTTACTCTATACTTTGGAATTCGCCTCACTGTATTTTTTGACTGTTGCAATATTAGAGTTACAGATGAAAGTAAAATTAATTCTTCATCAGAACTGTCGCTGGACTCCATAATTATAGTAGTTTTCAAATACCTCAATTTTAATTCACATATTAAAATATTAATCAAATGTTTCATGTTCTGCGCCATAATGTCTCACGTTGGACATTTTTGATGATTTTTAGCCAACCTGACTTGCATACCACTTAGCGAAACAATAAGGGAATCCTTCAGTGAAACCCATTTTTTCATTTCGCTGGTGAATTTTCATTTCTCTATTTTTTGATGAAATTTCACTGACGATTTCACCGAGTGAAAAAGCACCACGAGCATACTTAGCTTAAGCATACAACAAATTAGTGTTTTTGAAACCCCCATGTAGTCTACTAAATAAGACGGTATCGATCGTTTATCTGAGATGAGGAGTTTTCATGTCTTATAAGGATTTCAATGGAAGAAATCGATTTCTGATGTTCTAGCGAGCTACTTTCCGCGACCAATTTCAGTAATCTTTTAAGCTCATTGAACAAATTCCATGTTCTATACTTTGTTGCACCCTTTCCAAGGTAAATTTTAAGCATACGATCATAAATCTTTACCGCTCCAGCATTAAAAATTGCGCACAACAAAAATATTTATTTTTCAAAACTTTAATTTTTCAGGTCGAGGTAAAGTTTGGTAAATTATTACTAAAATTGGTTTTGAGGTAGAAAGCTGAAAAAAATCACAGCTTCCTAAATGTGTCCGAGGTACGCTACTATGGAAAAATTTTTATCTGAAACTAAGACCATTTTTCTAAATCAATACTGAACTACCCTCGTATATAGATGGAGCATATTCTGAGACTTCGCGGAGAAATATCTAGTGTAATAGACGTCTTTCTAGAGTGTTTATGTTTTTATGCAATTTAAAGCTTAAATTAATGTCAACATCGTGAGAAAATATAAATTTTCACAGGATTTAGGATATTTAAAATTAAATGAGACCATCTCATCTCGTCTCATTTGGAAATGAGATGAGATGAGATGCAGTTTTGACCATCTCATTTAGGTTCTATCTCATCTCAGCAAGTAGTGAGATGAGATGAGATGGAGCCTATCTCATCATCTCGTCTCACGGCTACCCTAATCTCATAACTAATACCATGACTATAACTAATACCATAACTAATACCATGGGTGCACATAGGACTTAGAATATTTTTTGTGTTACTTAGTAGGGTTGTCGTGGGTAACGGGTCGGGTACCCGTTCTGCGGGTACCCGCACGATTCCGCAGAACGGGTACCCGCAACCGTGCGTGTGGTGCCAACTACCCGCGGGGGTAACGGGTAGCTTAGTTTTTGGCTGGTCACAGTATATAGTTTATTTCCCAATTTGGTTAAACGACTTATTCAATATTTTATGTATTTAGATGATATTGATTACGATTTCCGCAATAATGAGTCTTTAAACTTTAGGTAACCTTTGGAAACCGCTACATGTAAAGTCCGTCTCAAAAGTCCATCCACTGTTATGAAAATTTAATTATGTGGGAAATATGGGTTTTCCAGCTGAATATCTTAATTTACCAAATTATTTACATCTACGCACGCGTACGCTCTAAATAGTATACGCGTACACTCGGCGAAAATTGTAACCAGCGTGGTAGCGCAGTATAATTTTGAAGAATTCTTACACAAAATGTAATTTTTAGTGTATGTATGTCCGACATGGTATAATAGATTTGTTACCTAGTAGTCGTACATTGATTACCAGGCTGGTCATAAATGCCGCAGAGGCGTAACAGTTATTACCAACTTGGTAATAAATTGACTACCTGCGGTAATAGTGGTGGAGTGCATATGGTCACCTTCACAAATATCGCTTATTTCCGAATTATTTTGAGTACACATACCATTACTTTTCCAGGGTGTGTAATTTGCGACAGTGCCTATCCAATTGGTAATACGTGGCGAATGTTTTGGCACAAAAGTAACACACTTGATTTCTCCTCCCAGGCTCATGGCGTTTCTTATGTTGGTTTAAGTTTCCTTTGTTGTATGTCTTGTATTGGCAGGATTCACAAGAAAGGATAGAATCCTTACTTGATGAGTGTATCGCTTGGAGATGAACTTTAAGACTACTTTTCTGGCCAAATTCACCAAGTGGCCTTAAAGTTTTGCTCCACCTGATTTTTTCATTTATTGGTAAAAAATCAACATGGGAGAAGTTTCAACGTTATAGCTTATCATTCTTGGTTTGCACAATATTCTGAACGTTTTTGCCAAATTTGGAAGTTTTATGACAATTCTGTTGGCCACAGTCACGAAAAAATGGGTGACCTTAAAGATTCACTCTACACTGTACAATATGCTCATTCATATGTAAATAATTTATATAACTATCACTTTAGCAATCATGTTTCATAATGGAGTTTATGTTCGTACTTATGTTATAAATAAAGGTTTGGCTTATTGATATGGAATGCTAGTTACATGGTTGGAGAGTACATATTTTCGTGATATTTCAGAGGATATTTCGTAGCATATTTTCCTGATATTTCATATACATAATCATAGTGGAATCTTCTCTTGAGTGTTAAATTCATTCCTTGCAAGTAGTACTCACAATGGAGAGGTGTCAGGTGGTTATCGCCAATGTGGACTGGACTAATTTTAAATTGTTCAGGCCCAGAAATAAGCCCACCCGTATTTTTTCGTTTTCCTGAATGGGCATATTTACGCCCGTGGTGGAATTTTCAAAAAAAATTTCAGCCAAAATCCTGATTTTTAAAAACGCTGTAACTTTTCGAATTTTAGCCCGATTTCAAAAATTGAATACAATTTGTTTTCAGAATTACTTCCCTGCAAATATAAAACTTCATTTTCAAAAAATTTTTAATTTTCAAAAAATTATCGTTTTTTTCATTTCTAAAAACTCAGAAATGGCATGAAAATATTAAATTTAAAAAAATTTTGAAAATGAATTTTTATATTTTCAGGCAATTAATTCTGAACACAAATTGTATTCAATTTTTGAAATCTGGCTAAAATTCGAAAAGTTACAGCGTTTTTAAAAATCAGGATTTTGGCTGAAATTTTTTTTGAAAATTCCGCCACGGGCGTAAATATGCCCATTCAGGCAAACGAAAAAATACGGGTGGGCTTATTTCTGGGCCTGAACAATTTAAAATTAGTCCGGTCCACATTGGCGATAACCACCTGACACCTCCTCATTGTAAGTTCAACCCAAGTTTCATACGGAATAGAAATATTTTAATTAAAAAATACTAAAACTTACGCATGGTATTTCTCCAACTTTCAGTAATTTTGAGTTTGACTCATCCTTAATAGTGGGTTCCATATTCTGTCCAGCGTTATATAACTTAAAATACGTTAACTATCGAAAATTTTAAATAGATCCAGTTGGATATTTGAAAAAAAGGAAAACTTACGGAAGGTCGTTCGCCAAATTTCCTCAATTGCGTTTCAACTTTTGGAATTGTTTCCATATTCTGTAAAGAAATGTATGTGATAATCATAAGTTTACTGTTTAACACATTAATGAAGAAATATTTGTACCTGTTTAGTTATTCTAGATGGAAGAATAATTATATGAAGAAATTCCTTGTAATGGTGTCTGGTCAAAGTACAAGTTTTTTGTGAAGTTGGATTGAAAAGAGAAAGGTTGAGAAGTTTAGCCAAAACCAAAAGCATATCAAATCAATCCCACACTTACTATGTGTCTATTTATAATATTTTATGTTGGGCTTTCGAGGTAAAACGCAAAACACTTAGATATGTATAAGTTAAGTTGTATGTACGTACAGTAAATAATATTAGAGGGTGATTCAAAGATTTTATTTTCAAAATTTTTTGCAAATTATAATATGCTCCATCATGTATGCTAGCCAAAATATTTCAAACGTTTTTTTTTAAAATTCGCACCCACGTCATACAAGAGGGATTTTAAGTAGTACTTGTTCTTATCAACTCCGTAACAGAATTAAATTGACCATGATGAATGCAGAAAATGTCTGCATGCATCTAACCTCATTGAACCTATAGTCCTTAGTATAACGTACTGACATTGTCGCGTTCCCTATTCTTGCAGCATACAAAATAACTTTATACGTATATAACGGTAGTTGAACTTGGAAAAATCTTAATATCAGGTCGTGGGGTCCTCCCCCTAATCAAATTTCTTGCAAAAGTTTCCTGCAAAAGCAAAGTCAAAAATTAATGCAAAGTACTATATTGACTTTGTATTGAAACCACGTTTGGAATTTCAAGTGTCCAAATTGTATGGCAGAGAGACCTCTTTGGTCGAAGTCCATCAGGGCGCCGCGTCCTCACACACCACTCGGATAACCCAAGCTTATGCGAAGACCTTACATGAAAAACTTGAAATAAAAATTATTTTCGATAGTGAAATACATGTGAAGTCACCTGGTACAAGTCCCATGAACTTTTTGGTTTTGGTTATTTTTTTTTTAATTTTGGGGACGACACCCATCTAAAATTTCTGGACTTTTGGTAAATCCTAAAAGACGAGTGGTCTAAAGTCGGCCTTGCTACGTTGGATAAAGTGTACAAAAGTTGGAATCAAAGGTGTTGAATGATAGTTCGAAACAAGGGCTCTCACATAATAAATGTTAGAAACAGCCACGGTAAACGCTTATCCCTATAATATAGGTAAGAAATCGTTCTCACACCCACGGAACATGTTTAGTAACCCAAGAAAAATTTGATCGATCCCGATATTTATCAATAACTGGCAATCTGTTTTTTATATAAAAATATTCCAATAGGAACAAGTCTAACCAAACATACACAATATATGCTTACCCTTGAGTAGTTCCGTTATTTATTAAGTATGAGATGCATGTTTACAATTACTATTTTAGTAACACATTTTCTGCGTCTGTTATCCGTTATCTTGTTAGATTCAAAATACTGGAACAAGTTGGTTAATCCACGCAGCCATCCTTTACAAATGGGGTTACCATCCCCAATACAGTTCCACAATTGACCCAAAGCTCCCTTGTCAACCGACGTGATCTATAATATCAAGATTATTCCAGCCATGATCATTGTTTCTCCCACAATGTCGAAAAAAGGCTTCATCGTGTTAATTGAAATGTAGGGCGACGCCACTTTCAGGGACGACAAGTTCTGTGCTCTCGCTATCGCCATTACCCTCAAATTATAGAAATGTAGTAACTACGGATACCACACATTTGGAAATCCACCCTGCTCCAGGACTTTCATGCTTTGTCCAATGTCATCCCTTAACATGTTGTCCACTATTGCAAATACTCCCTCATTTAGGACAATATCATAAGTAGAAAAACATTCATACTCCCCTTGTAAGCAGGGTTTCGTTTGGGAGGTCCAAAATAATTTTGGACGTTCAAAATGTCCAAAATGGTTTTACACTGGGAAATGGGGTAACTTGCTACAACTTCTTTATTATCGGTTTTTTGGCAAATATATGCACAAATATGGATTCTACGTTAAATTTCAAGAAATTTGGTGGGTAATACCATGCAATTTGGAAGAAAAAATTTTTAACATGCGTTCTTATGGGAAATTCTGAAATTGTCAAAAGTATGCCATATTACACATGAAAATGCTTGAAATGATTAGGAGATTACATATACGTCAACAGATTGTCGAAAAACTGAGCAATAAAAAAAAAACTTGTTTCATATTGCCCCATTTTCAATTTTGAACACTTTTGGACATTTTGGACATTTTGGACACCAAAGCTCAAGTGTCCAAAACTGGTTAAAACCACTTTTGGACGGCCATTTTGGACAGTGGTTAATACCAGAGCGAAACCCTGCTTGTAAGACATGGTATTGCAATGTAGAAATGAATAAATTACAGCCACCTTATGCCTAAGGAGTACGACATTTTTTGGACTCTGCTTCCTAATGTAGTCTGCCTTAAACCTGGACCGGTAGCTTTTATTGGTGTCTCTCAACACTACAAGGTTTTGCCTAGATTTTTGTACCACATAAGGCTTTAATGTTAGAAAATGTTGTGGTGCAATTTCAGTTAGGGGCACTGCGAGACAACTGAGTGATGGAAATTCAAAATTCAGGTGGCTAATCATATTTTTTCACATCAATGCTCAGAACAATTACTATTTTTACGAATTCAAGAACAACATTACCTATGTTGTACAAAAATCAAGGCAAACTTTTGTACCAGACTCGTACTAAAGTCTGTAACACTCAAAAAGTCCTATAGAATTTGTGGTTCTTTCTTTCTTTCAACCTTTATTCAAGTGTTAATGGATATCTGTTTACAAAACTGGTTTGAAAACCATGACACAGAGATACAGAATAAAAATATGAAGCACTATAACTATTCTAAAATTAAAATCTCGAACATATGCATTTATTGGTAGTGAGTTTTTGCAAGGCTGTTTGATTTATTTATGACAAGGCAAATGCATAAGAGGAGCACCGATTACATATCGCGGTACTAATTCTGAAATGACATTAGTGCAGTCGACGATTTATTCCGAAACAACTTAAGTGAACTCTATGATTTATTCCGAAATGACATAAGTGCACAACAAAAATTTCTAAAAAAACATACTTGCAATTTCAATATCAAGCTAATTATTTAAGTAGGTATCGTAGCCAGGCATGATGCAATAATAAATGCAAAAATTAGCTTGATATCGAAATTGCAAGTATGTTTTTTTTATTAATTTTTGTTGTGCACCTATGTCATTTCGGAATAAATCATAGAGTTGTTTTATAATTTAGATACGGTTTTTCTGTTCTAGGTTTGATGCCCAATTCATATAAAGAACGTCCGGGAATGAATGGGAATGCGCGCTCTAGCGAGTATATTGACAAATAAATAAACCCGCGAACTATAATAATTTAAATTTCTGAAAGCCCACTTCATTAGGGTCAATTTGGTATATCACTCTTAAATTTCAAAAATGGATAAGGGTAGAAGAAGCTTGTTTGAAAGGGAGCTGTTAGCAAAACGAGTGATGGAGTTCTACAACACGACAGCCAACCGAGACTCCAAGGTGACCTGGAACTTTTTTAAGCAGGAAGGAATTCCAAGTTCAAATGTGTATTCCTACATAAAAAAGTTCAAGGATTCCGAAAATGTGCAATTCAAGAAGCCAGCTGGTCGTCCGGCGAAGCTAGCGACCACTCGAGTGAAAAATAGAATTGAAAAAATTTTCAAAACCAAGCCATCAACGTCAGTAGCTGTAGCTGCCAGGAAAGTCAAAATTTCCAAAAGCTACGTGGGGGAAATTAAGGTCCATAAACTAGGAATCAAAGCAAATACCAAAAAACCTGCACCAAATTACAAGCCCGTACAAGAAAGTCGGATCAAGGATTGATGTCAAAAATTGTTGAAGAAAATGCGTGGAAAAGTAGTGATCCTGGATGACGAAACGTATGTTCCGGTTGACCCTTCAAATCTTCCAGGGCGTCATTTTTTTCATAGCTCGGATCCCTCTGAAGTGGCTTATGAAGAAAAAGTACGAAAAAAAGACAAATTTCCAAAGAAATATTGCATTTGGCAATGCATCTCCAGTCACGGACATGTATCAGACCCGGTAGTTCTCGAAGGGAATATCAATCAAGATATTTATCTGAAAAATTGTGTCAAAGCTGGATTGGAAGCATTTATTAATAGGTTTCACAAAAATGATAAAGTTTTGTTTTGGCCTGACCTCGCCACTTGTCACTATGCAAAGAAAGTGACCGAGTACCTCAGAAAGAAAAATATTGATTTCGTACCAAACGATATCAACCCACCTAATGTACCCCAACTCCGCCCAATCGAAAAATTCTATGCACGTTCTAAGTCAGTATACTCCCGGCTTCAAGATGTGCCTGACACCTTTCGAAAATTCAAAGGACGATGGAAGAAAATCACCTCGGAAGTGGCAAAAACTTCGGGAAAAAATTTAATGAAAAATCTTCGCAAGAAAATCGAACTAGTCGCCACCGGGGGGGTGGCGGCCTTAGCTATTAATTAAATTATGTAGGTACGTATTTGATATTATACATATGCAAAAAGTTTAAAATTCCGATAACTCATTGTGATTTTATGACCACATTTTCAGACCATTCCCATTCATTCCCGGACGTTCTTTACTTTAATTTTGTTCTGATATTTTCTAGAAATGTTCACGTTTTCTGCAGCAGCAGAATTTTTTGTAGATGAACGAGTTTTGAAAAAAAATATTGGATTTCTAACTCTAACCGTTCACAGCTTTGTTGGACGACAACCTGGCTTTTTGAAAGTTACATTTTCGGAATCATTGTACTTTGTTATGTAAGAATACACTTGTTTTCGAAATACCTTCTTATTTAAAAAAGTTTCACATAATTTTTTAATCGCTGTTCCCTCAATTTTTATGAAACTCCATATCTCTTTCTGTCAACTTCTTTCAATCAACCGAGTTTTTTTAAGTGTGAACCATGACTGACAATATAATGTTGGAACGCCAATAAATTTCTCTTTCAGATAATGTATCTCAATTTTAAAAATTTTGGCGCCCCGTCTCACAATTCCCGCTAGATGACTCATTTCACTAAATTAGTACAGATAACTTTTGTAGTGAGGGAACCGTTTTTTAGGACACAATGTATGTTCTAGCAACTTTTTTCCTGGT